GCTCTGCTGTCACTCAATACTTGGAATCCTGGGCATCCTGGGGAGACAGTGTAGACTAAGAGGGCTCCACTAGACTTCTCCATCTGATATCACTGTCAGTGGGGCCTGGAGCATGAAATTCTGGGGACTAGGTGGGGCACATTATGTGCACTGCAAATTGTCAGGAACACCCAGGTCACACATATTCCCCTCATTCTACCTGTGACTCTCCCACTTACCCACCTGGCAAACTGCTACTCATTCTTCACAAACCAGGCCATTTCACCTCTTCCTCCATAGGCGAAGCTAATCACTTGCTCCTTTGTGCCAGCCCTGGACCTCCCATGTTCCTCTGCTGCAGCTCTGACCACATTCTAAAAGAATTGTTCAGTAGATGGGGCTTCACAAGTGAGGACTGCGTCTTTCATCTCTGACTCCCTAGTACCTAGCACTGTATGCCATGCTATTAAGGCTTCATGACTCCCACAATGCTTTCAAAGGCATTCACCTTTCCAGCTTGTAGAAAGAATGTTAGAATGATTTTGCTTATTCCAGGACAAAAATCTCTCTCCCGGGATAATTTTATTTGTAGCTGGTGATATCCCTCATTAAACAAGGAGTTCCCCAAGAGAGAAGTGCCCATTCTTTGTCCTCCTCTGGTCCTCACCCCATTTACCCAGAAGTCACCTTCAGTAAATACAACCACAGCCGCTGTTGGGGCCGCCCTTGCTACTTTCCAGGAAGCACCCTGATAACCCTATTACATCTCTCTGGTGCTTTCTGTCCTGTTTATCTCCAGGGAGCCAGGCGATCCAATTTGCTTAATGCCATGTGATCTGCTGTACCCGCACCACATTCTATGGTCGTAATTTAATTTATTATAGACATTGGGTCATGGCTGTTTTTCTGAAAAACAGGTCATCTCTTAAATTAGTTTTTTGGCCACCAGCCCTCTCCTCACTGACAAGGGTGAGTAGTTTTTGGATCTCTTTCTAGTCATGGATAATATTTCCTCCTGGAATAAGAATCAAAACCTTGAGAATGTCATAGGTTTTGATGTTCAAAGGTCAAACCTTTGACCCAGCAGGTTCCACTTCTGCATGTTTACCCTGGAAAATGGCCAGAGATGTGCATAAAGGGGATTTCCTGTGGGACTATTTATACAGAGCAGGTGAGCCCCCAGTGGGAAATTTGGGTATAACCTCTTCCAAGCAAACATGAGGGACATGGCTAGCCAGAAAACTTCAACATGCCTGCCCCTAAGGTTGTAATGAGGCAGAGAAATGGTGATCTCCCTGGCTGACCAGCACTAACAGGTGGAGGAGAGGTGGCATGCCCTGAGGGGGCTGGAGACAGGCTGGACACTGAATTAGCCTCTTGTCTCTCTGCTCTTGGGGTCACCTCTGCTTCCATGAAGAAGTCACAAGATAAAGCCTAGAAGGATGAGTGGTCCATTCCTTCCAATCTAATAGGTCCCCACCTCCCCACTGTGAGTTACAGCTCAACTCCCTTCCTCTGCTCCCTGGAGAGTCAGAAGCATCATGTCCTAAGTTTTTCGGGGAGTTTCTCTCTGCTCCCTCCCTGCAGAGCCTGGGTTTAAGTGAACATAGCCCTTCTGTCAACTCCCCCATAGCAGTAAGGTAATTCAGTGCACATATTATTTACTGGTCAGATTTTTTGGGTTACAGATTACAAAAACTCAAACAAATTTCAACCAAAATAAGAAACAAACAAAGAAAGGAAGGAAGAGAGGGAAGAAGGAAGGAAGCCAAAGGAAAGAACAGGAAAGAAAAGAAAGTAGAAAAAGGGAGAAGTCTAGGAATAAATGACTTCAGGTATAACAGGATCCAGAAATGCAAAATAAATCATTGGGGTCTCCTCACTGTTTACCTTTATTCTCTGCTTTCTCAGTATTGGCTTCATGCTCAGGCTGACTCCCCTTCCTCATGTGACAGCAAGGATGGCCCCTGGCCACTCCAAACTTACATGCCCTTCCCAGCCAACGATTTTTGTCAGGAGTCATGTGGGCTGGGGGATAGGAAATGTGGGTTGGGAGAAGGGTTCATCTTTTCTGCTAGTTTGAGGAAATATTTCAGAGCAGGCTCTGAGAACCTGGCTTGGATAATGTGCCTAACCCTAAACCAATCATTGTGGCCAAAAGATCATAGATCCACCCTTGGTGCTGGGAAGTGAGGTGGGCCTCATCTGAACTTTATGGACTAAGAACCAAAGGAAGCTGTTGCCTGAAGATATGCTAGAAGAACAAAAAAGTGGTCTTTTACACTTGAGTGGCCCTGTTCCAATCTCTTGTACATAGTCAAGTTCCGCAGTCTCTCCTGAATTTGGTCAGGAGTCAACTTCCACAGACTGAGAATTTTATGTTCCACCGGCAGCCAGCCCTGGGTTCCAAAGCTGTTGTCAGCCTCCTCCAGGCAGCTCCTCCTATCGGAATTGGGTCCACTCTTTCAGCAAACAGCAGCAGTGGCTAAGCAGTAAGATTCCTGGAGTTTGCCCCTAAGTCTGGCTGCTCCTTGGGTGAAGTCTCTCCCCTCCACAGAGATCACTGGCAGGCCCGGGATAGAAATGGCAGCTCTGAGGCCCCACAGCCATTCATGGCTGCCACAGGTGGTTTGTGCTGCCTGTGTCCTGACACAGGTCCGCATCTGTCCAAGGAAGGGGGTCTTTTAATCAGGAAGGCTCTTTATAGGCTAACTACCACCTGCCTGCAGCACGATCAGGTGAGGGGTGATTGTTCAGGGCTGACACAGGAAGAATTTCAAGGGTGGACTTTAGACCTGGGTGGTGTCTTGAGTATCAGAATTACTGCCTTATGAGGTATTTCTGTTGCTTGTGGGTGCAGTGTGGCTGGGGTATAAGGCAGTGAACCTGCAGTCCTGTGCTCCTCTGGTCTGGCAGACATCTTGCTTCCCACTAGCTGTCACCATCTCCAAACTCTGGGCGGGGTACTTCCCTGCAAACTGGTGTGAGAGGCCAGAGGAAGCAGCAGCCACACACCCGGTTGCAGCCCTATCTCATTTCTATCCCTTGCACTGCCTTTGCTGCTTTGGGAATACAGCAAAATGAAGGAACTTCAAGCAGGATCAAGTGGCCATTCTTGCTCACCCTCAAACCCAGGCCACACTTTGTGGATCAGCTGAGCTCATCAACCAGCTACAGGACTCCTGCCCAAACTCTGAAAGTGAGGAAGTAAAAAACTTGCCCCAAATTACAGAACTGCCAGCCAACTGAGGGACTTCATGCAGTCACTCTCCAAGTCACTCCTTTGATTGAGGGGCAGTTCTCTCAGAGCCTCTCAGCCCCATACTGAGATGTGCCTCTCCCAAATCTGGCTGTGAGATAACCCTGTGAAGAACAGGTGAAGTGACCTGGCACTTCCAGAATGTTTCCTGGGCTCCCATTCTCTGGTTCCAAAGACAAGAAGTACATGAGCCCCAGCTCCAGGACTTCCCTCCTCTGCAAGGTCTCAGAGATGCTGCTCCCAAGAGCAGCAGGCTAAGGCTCCCATTCACATGTGGCTTTCTCAGCCACCGGAGTTAAAAGATTGGGATCATATTGGCTCTAAGGTTCTGTGATTCCCCAGGTAAGACTGTTTGCATTCTCACATTGCAGGTTTTGTAGAAAATTCTAGTGTGTATAGACTCAAACAGAAATCTTAAAGACCTTGGAGGAGGTCTGAGTCCCACTGGGCTGGTGCCCCCTTCTTTCCCCTTTGCTCCCTCCCTTGGTTCCAGCAGAGCCCACTGAGTTATCTCACATAGCAGACACCAGGGTGAGGTGGCCGCCACAAGCAGTGTGAGCTCCAGCTCAACAGTGTCAACAGGGGCCCAGCTCCTGTCGTCCTTCTGCTTCCTCTGTCACTGTGTGGACTTCATCCTCAGGCAGACTTCTGGGGATCTTTCTTTTTTAATTGAAGTATCATTGACATACAATCTTATGTTGGTTTCAAATATACAACACAGTGTTCAACAGTCACCCATATTATTAAATCCTCAGCCCCCCTAACACAGTTACTATCTATCAACAAACTAAGATACTACAGAATCATTGCCTATATTCTCCATGCTGTACTACCATCCCAGCGACCAACCTATATTGGGACTGTGAATTATTGCACCCCTTTATTCCCTACACCCTCCCCCAACCTGTTCCAACCCCTCCCTTTTGGTAACCACTAGTCTCTTCTCCGTATCTGAGTCTACTGGTATATTGTTCCTTCTGTTTTGGGGAGCTATCTTATTCTTGAATCTGTTTTTTTCTTTTTTCCCCAAAGGAATGAAGGCTTTCCCAGGAGCCCCCCAGCAGACACTCTTCTTTGCCGATCATTGGCATACAGAATGGGATCACCATGTCGGCTTTAGACTAATTGCCAAGGGACCGATGTCAAGGGGTCAACCATCCAGCCACTATAGCTTTCTGAGATATTGTGATTTATAAGAAATTTGGCCTTTGTCCATGGTTCCTGGCTTATGGCTCCCAAAACCCTTGGAATGTCCTAAGTGATAAGAGCTTAAAGGTGTCTCTTTTCAACTTTTGATTGTTGTGCCATATGCATATATTATCTATGAAAGATACAGATTCCACAGGAGTTATAAGCAGTGAGGCAAAAATTTTGGGATATTACAAGGACATTAGACATAGGACATTAAAACTACTGAGTTGTTCTATTGCCTTTCAATCATTTTCAATCTAAAACAATACTAAACAACATTCAGATGCTATCAGATAGATTTCAGTCCTCTCTAATGGACTTTACTGTCTTTTCAAATGTCTAAATAGGAACCTGCTGTCCTATTTTTTAGGGATAGATAACAGGTTTCGCTCTAAGCTGGGAGATAGTTTGCTATTCCTTTTATTACTTACTTTTGGGCAAAATGACTGTCAGGTTAAGAACCTCTGTTTCAGAAGGTTCAATGTGCATATCTCTTTCCTTTTTTAAACAATAAGATACCTTAATTTGGGGCAGAAAGAGTTCTCACAGAAAAACCTTGCAAGCATTTGTTTGTAAGCATTTTATTCTTCCCAATTATTAAATTTCTCTTTTGCAAAAGGAACACACAGATCTTGGGCATCTCGAGGGCTTTTAAGAAATCATCTTGCATAATCTTGTATAAGTAGCAGAGTCCATAGTCACAGTTTGCCAATCCCACATGTTTCCCAAGAGAGGTAAAATCATTCATTGTATAATATGAGGAAGTTTGGGTTATATAAAAGAAAAATTGACCAAGAGTCTCCAGGAATAGATCGCATTTACAACAGAATCCAAAATACAAAACACCAAGGAATAATTTTAGCAAGAATTTTGCAGTATGGGGAGGAAGAATACCAGAATACTATTTGAGGAGCATAAAATAAGAGCTTGAATAAATGGAGAGACTAGCAGAAAGTAGTGGCAAAGACCTCAGACCCCAGGGGTCACAGGAGCCTGCTGTGCTTCTAAACTGCTCACGTGTAAAAATAGGGATACTGAACGCACCCAGTCAGCAGAGGGCAGCAGAGAGATGCCTGGTCCTGCCTGTAGAGGGGACGATGTTGCTTGTGATGCTGTCTGCATTGGGTTTCACAAAGGATGAAGATGCCAGCATTTTCTGCAACAAATGGGGTAGAGGCCTGGATAAATTGGGCCTGAATTTGTGACAAGCTATATTTTCTACTGGAGTTTCCACTTCGAGTACTTGCCCAGTGTCCACAACCTTATCTCATGCACAGCCATTGTCTTTAGGTTCTCCAGAGTAATACAGATTTATTTTAAGGAATCGGCTCATGCAACCATAGGTGCTGGCAAGTCCAAAATTCGTAGGTCAAGCTAGCAGGCTAGAAACTCAGGCAGGATTTTTATGTTGCAGCCTTGAGGCTCTGCTGTTAACAGCATTCAACTGATTGGGAGAAATCCACTCACATCACGGAAGGTAAGCTGCTTTACCTAAAGTCAACTGACTGTAGATATTAATGACACCCACGAACACCTTCACTGCAACGTCTAGACTAGGGTTTGACCACTTGGGCACCATAGCCTAGTCAAGTTGACACATAAAATTAACCATCACACAGCCACCTCCAAGTTCTAAGGGGCTTCTTGGCCCCACCACTCAGACCTTCTTTCCTTCTGTTATTCATCTCCAGCGGGTGAGCCATTTCCCCTTTCAGATCCTCTTACACAAACGCACTGATAATGGCTCACTTTCCTATAGGCCAGATAACCACCTTCAGTGGTTCCCCCAGTACTTCTGACGGTAGTTATCTCATACACAAACACACACATATACACACTCCTACCATCTTACAATGACTCAAAGGTGATTTATCCTCCAAAGGCCAACCAAAGTGACTTTCTGGCTCCTCTCTCACTTGAGGAAGGACAGAAAGGGAGAGAAAAACGTGTGCACAGCTTTAGCTGCTAATGGGACAGCCAGCTACATATAACAGAAAAACAAACAAGGCAGACAACCTAAATGTCTTGCAGTAAGTGATTGTTTAAAAAAAAAAAAACAGGCTCATCTGTACAACAGACCACTATGCAGTAATTAATGATCTTCTATGATTTCATCACCTTGAAAAATATTCATGATATAGTTAAGTGAAACAATCAGGTCATAAAACATTATATTTAATATGATCCCAGTTTCATAATATCCATATAGAAATTATATAATATGTAATTTCATCTACCTATATATAATTTCATGACTATATATAGTCACCTAACAAAGACTGTAAGACAAATCATTATTTTTTATATACCAGTAAATGAAACATTGCTAATTAAATTATAACACCATCAATTTAAGATACATTTCAGAAATGTTAAAAAGTGAAAAAACCTGCATTTTAGAATTGACAAAATACATGTTCATATGAATTATATATGCATAAAAAAGTAATATATCAAAATAGTAACAGGGTTTATCACTAAGTGTTAAAATTTAGATAGCTTATTTTCTTTGTGATTTTCTGTGCTTTCTATATTTTGTATATTGAACTTATGATATTTGAATAACTAGAAAAATAATAAATACTATTATCACCTACCCCTCCAATTCTTCTAACCCTTCTCCCTTTCTCTTATTCCCCAAGCCATTCTCTTTAAGTTCTTCATCCAGATCTCCATCCAGGGCCAAGCTGAGCCCTATTAGAGCCTGAGGAAAAAGGAAATTGGCTTTAATACAAGTTGAACTCATCAATACTTATAAAAATCTAATTAATTGCTTATTTCACTTTCAGTTAAGAGAGTGCCATGTTTGACAATTTCTCTTGACCAAGTGATGATCTCAAATAAATTTTAATTAACTTAAACTGAAGTAAAAGTGTAGTAAATTCACTTTAGGTATAAAGATAATACTTAAAATAATATTGTGAGTTTTAATATATCTCCTGTGATATAGTTAAGTCATAAGAAATACTTGTTTGGTCATTCAAATGACCAAACATGTATTTCCCAGGTATATTTGGTCTTCATCCACAGTTTCTGAAAACACTGCAGTCTTAATGGTGAAATGGGTGTTTTGTCATGTTAATGAGAGACTGCTGGATCCCCCAACCCCAGGGCGGGGGTTCAAAGTTGAATCGATGGACAATAATTTCGTCAATCATGACTATGCAATTAAGCCCTCACAACTCCCCTGAGAAGAGCTTATCTCTTAGATCCTGCTTCTTGGTGGGAGAGATCCTTTATGCTTGGGGACTCAGAAGGCCTCCAGGTGCCACCAAGCCAGACCCCAAGCTCCACAAGGATAGACACTCCTTTATTTGCCCTACGTCTCTTCATCTGTCTTTAACTTGTATCCTTTACAGTATCCTTTGTTAAACTGGTAAACCTAAGGGTTTTCCTGAATCCTGTGAGCCCCTGTAGCAAATTAATCGAATCTAAGGAGGAGGTCATTGGAATGTCCAATCTGCAGCCAGTAGGTCAGAAGCACAGGTAACTGCTGAGGGCTTGCAACCAGTGTCTGGAGTGCAGGAGTTGATGGCAGTCTTGTAGGACAGAGCCCTTAACCTGGGGAACCTGGTGCTGTCTTGGGCAGATAGCATCAGAACTGAGTTGATGAAATCAGAATGGAACACCCTGCTAGTGTTACAGAATTGTATGGTGTTATGCGTGTGGGAAGACCCCTTCCCACACACATATATACACATTGGAATTGGGTCTAGGAACCCAAACCGAGCTGTACTACTATTACTGCTGTGTATAATACTATTATTGTTGTATGTCAAAGAACACAGAACACTTACTTTTCAATTTTTCAGTATTTTTCAATGATTTAATGATTTTAAAGGTTCTAGAAAAAAAATAACCCTATATATATATATGGTATATGGAGGAGCACATTTTTTCTTTTGCCTGAGGCTCCAATATGGCTTAACAGGGCATTATTCTTTAAGTTGTTATTTTGTTCAAGACAGATTTTTTTGCACTAATTTTGGTGTTTTTAATTTGTTACTTGATTGCTGAGTTTTTTGGTGCCCCCTTCAACTTTGCACCCAAGGCAAGTGCCCCACTTGCCTTACCCTAGTCCCGGGTCTGCCCTGGTCATAATCATTTTTACATTTATCAGCCTTCTTTCCTAGACTATGGATGTCCTGAGGAAAGAGATGAGCGAATTTACCTTTGTAGTTCTGTGTCCTACCCAACACCCAGCACAAAGGCTAGCACATGGTGAGTATCAACATGATTTTGCCGAAGGTGTGAAGGGAAGAAGGAAAACAGTTAATGGTAATGGCTATATTCTAATATTTATTGAGTGTGTCTTGTATGCCAGCCATTGGGTCACTTACCTAATCTAGCAGCTCAATAATAAAAAGAGTATTATACCCATTTTAGAGATGAGGAAATTGATGCACATGGGAGAGTGAATTGTAATGCACCGTATGGCAGAACTTGGGACAGCTCCTCTTGGGTTCCTAAAACATTTCTTGCTTTTATTGTTTCTCTTCTGGGCATAGGAATGGGATGAGAAGGGGGGAGGGGAAATACGAGGTGACAAGAAATGAAGAAACCGACCTAACAGAAGACCCGAACTGTCACTTTCACATCAGTTATCTGCTCAAGTCGTTGTCACCACTTTAGAGATAAGAAACTGAGACATAAAGAAATTAAAGGGACTTGTAGGGCTCCTTCTCCTGTCTAGCCACCTGTGGGTGTGTGGAGGTGGGGTGCAGGGGGCAGGCTGTCAAGCAGGCCAACTGACCTCCCCACAAACTCACCAAACTCAGGGCACTGTCCTGTGCAAACTTTCCCTGTGAAGCCCAGTCAGCAACCCCTCCTAATGGGCAAGTGCCCCTTGTCCGCCCCACCCAGAGGTGGGCATTCCCTCACCACCGACATGTGGAAGGAACTTGATAAGGGCCAAAAGCTGATGTCAGTAGTCTTTCAGAGCTGCCCTTGACTCACTTGCTTCAATTGCTCTGTGCTCCACCACATTTCCTGCCTTATGAAGGGGGAAAACCCCTGAATTCAGCACACGGATGTGAAAAGCGAAACTCAGAACACCCAAAAACAGAATCTAAAATGACCAGGAAATAAAAAGAAGATTGTGAGGAAAAGGTGAAATTCATGAGGAATTCAGGCATGGCCTGCAGGATAGCTTAGTGATGGGAACAGCTTCAGTCATGAACATACATGACTTTTGGAGATGACTGAAAAGTCTAGGGAGGGAAGAAATGTATCTTCCATTTTACACCTTTTTAAAGTGTTTGAATTTTTTTAACCTATGTGCCTATATTACTTCTTCAATTTAAAGAAAAAAAGCTTTTTGAAGTGGCCTGCCACCAGTGGCAGGCTGAGGTCGCAGTCATGGTTCTGCAGTGGCTCAACTCCAGACCTTCCTGGGGTGGAGGGCAGGGAATCCAAACGGTCCTTCCTGCTAGGAGAGAACGGCTTGGTGCATGACACACTAGGGGTGGGTCACGCATCCTGCAGACTATATGCACCTCCAAATTAGGTAGCTAATTATGCTGAGGACTCAGAGTCACGTTTAAAATCAGAGTTAGCTGAAGTAAAACTGGATGAGTAACTTGCTTCCAGAATGTGGAACACACAACACAGACAGGCTGCTTCCTGAGGAAGCTGAGTACCACCCTCTCAGGAACTCCAGGCTGCTCATGACTGGTCATGACTCTGTCCTGGGGAAGAACTGAGGCTGTGGAATCCAGCCTCACCCATCACCTTAGTCAGGTCGGGTTGTGACTAAGCCTCAAGGGCCAGGTCAGGGCCACAGAGCAGAGAGAGGAGAGCGGAGCAAAGACTGCAGGATCAGCCCTGCACAGGAGTGTCTAGCCCCCACGAAGAGAAATGAGGAGCAGCATCCCATAATCTTCAATTCTAACTAAGATAAGGCAAGTGACAAGAGTAGTGGCAGCTGGAACACTGGGAGTTAGTATGAGCCCCAAAAATGGATAATGGGGAGCTCTGTAAAAAGTTTCTCTTTAGGAGTCTAAACCCCAGAGTCTCCAGTGTGAAAGAAAGGGAATGAGGGGTTCAGATCAGGGGATTCTCAGCTGCTTGGAATTCAGGGATATAGGTGACTTGCCAAGAGTGGACACCTCCGTTTCCCACTCCTTTGGAAATGCCCATCCTTCACCCCCGCCCCCAAGATCTTCATGCCCCACTGGCTTCGTCTCTCCAGACTCCATCACTGCAAAACCTCTGCCCTCCTTCTGAAAAGCTCAGTCCTACCATGGGGTCCCAGATAGGAAACAAGATCACTTCTCTTTGCCCAGCTATCAATCCCCAAGTGGCTTCCCCTGCCCTTCCCATTTCATGTCAGAACTGTCTCCTTGTGCAGATCTACCCACCCACACCCCTGCTCCCAGATCTTACAGACTTAGAAATGCAAACTCATTCAGATATCTAAACAAAAAGAAAAATAATTAGTGGCTCAAGGTTCTATGACAGAAAATGTCCAAATTCTAGGTTATTTGGAGTCATCCATGCTGCTTCTCTATTACTGAGATAAAGACTTAAAAGGTTACATCACAGAACCTGAGAGCCGAGAGAACCAGTGAGCAGCAACCTGAGGCTCTGACAGGATGATTCAGAGCCTGGATTTTGGAGTTCACTTTACGTGGAGTCTAATTAGAGCCCACCACTACTTGTTCAATGGTTCTCAAAGTTGAACATGCACCAGAATCACCTGGAGGGTTTTTAAAAACACAAACTGCTGAGCTCCATCCCCAGAATTTCTGATTATTTAGATGTGGAGTGGAGCCCAAGAATCTACGTTTCTAACAAAGTATCCATGACGCTGATGGTGCTGGTCTGGGAACCACACTTGGAGCAACACTCTAGCTACGTGGTCAGCCGCCTTTCATGTACATTCCGGATAATAATCGTAGTTATTTGCTGGGGCTGGGGTTGACCTGAGACGTGGCATATGAAGCCTTTAGCATTGTTGGTGGCACACAGTTAACACCTGCTCTTGCGGATGAAGGGGAGGAGTCATTTGCCCGAGACCACCCCGCCAATGAGAAGCAAACCTGCGCCGCGGCCCCCGGGCTGGTCACCGCCCGGCTGCGCTCCTCCCTCCACCGCGCTGCCTCCGGCTCTGAGCGCTTCAGCCACGCCGCCGCCGAGTCCGCGCGGCACCTTGCGGCTCCATGCACTCGCAGCTCCGCGCCGCCGGCTGCTCGGCTAGTGCCTGCTTTCTCTGGGGTGCCTAAGACCTCCAGTCTTTTCGGAGACTGCACTCCGGAGGGCTGAGATCTGGAAAAGCTGGGCGCCTGGCAGCGGCGGGACCTGGGGGCGCCCCCACACGGCCACTAGCCTCCGGCGGCCCCGGCACAGCCGGGCGTCGCGCGGCCAGCGGCAGCGCCGGTGGCTGCCTGCACCTGGCCCCGGGAGGGCGGGCGGGGTGCACCCCAGCAGCCGCGCCCCGCCCGCCCCGGCCCCGCCCTCCAGGACGTCCCGCCGGGCAGCCCGCGAGCGGCAGGCACAGCGGGGCGGCTGCGCCTCTGCCTAGGCGCGACAGGTAAGCGGCAGCAGCAGCCGGCGACCCTCTCCCTGGCTTGGAACCCAGAGCCCTCCGCCTCTCCGGACTTAGGTCCCGTCGAGCGCGATCCGCCCAATCCTTGCCCCCCACCCCGCCGCTCCGCCGCACTTCGCCTCCACTTCCTCCTCGCCACCCCACCACAGGGAAATGAAGGGCTGGGCCAGGCTGGTCCCTAACCTACCGTGGTGGCCTCTGGCTCCTCCCACAGTAAGACCCTCACCCCCTACTTTGGGCCTTCCTTAGAAGATGAATGAAAAGCTCAGACCTCTGGGACTTGGAGGAGTGGGGTGGGAGAGGGACAAGTCATAGCATTCCCTTCAGTGCTCTACAGCCACACCCCTTCTCTCATCCATGCCCCCCATTCCTTCTGTGCCCCAGCTCCCAGGTTGGGCCACCCCATGTGCTCTGCTACAAAAATCTTTCAAAGAAGTTCCCTCCTTCCTCTGCCACATCGCGCCTGAGCGAGGTTGCATCCCAGATGTCCTTGGTTGGGAAGCTTGGGCTTTTTGCGAGTGGGGATTGTGTGGTTTTGTGGTGAGGCAGTCTGATGGGTGTTCCTGACTGACTGTCACCAACTTCCTAATTTTCCTGCCGTCACTTGTTCCAGGCTAACTGAAAGGAGAAACTGATTGTTACTTGTCCCCAGAGCCAGTCATCCCAGACCCTGGCCTCTGCAGAGCATAGGACAAGGCTCTCCTGTGTGTGTGTGTTTGAGGGTTTAGGGAGGTGGGGGTAGGGGCTCAGTTTGCCAGCAAAATGTAGAACACACCCCTTCTATTAGTCACCCATTGCAATAGTCCCAGGGAGGGTTTTAACCTTGTGTACTCAGAGCATCTCTAGACCCACAAATGGAGTTCACAGGCACAGAGAAGGTTAAGTCTGGACTCACCAAAGAACCTGAGGCTTGTGCTCATTTTACCAGACAGGTGTGCGTACTACTCAGGCCCTGTTCTCTCCGACACATGAGCTTGTCCCTATCCATCCCAGGAAGGGTAAGAAGGATGAGAGGTAAATTGGTGTGGTGCATAATACAAGCTAAGGGGAGGGTTTGAAATATACTTTGGATCAAACGATCCAGTAGAAGCCCGTATGTGTGTGGGTACTTCCCTAGATCCTATTCTTCAACAATACTGTTCACTTTAGGTGCCCAGAGGTAACAAGAGAAACTGCTTTCGGGGGCAGCAGGACAGAAAGCGGGACAGGACTCTGAAAGGGAAGAGGTAGTCTGCTTCTGGTAGAACCATGAAGGATATTGGGCAGTCCAAGATGGCCTCATGCTCAGTAATCACTGCCCACAGTGGGCAGATCAGCTGGAAAGGGGAGGCTCTGATGCGTGTCAGATAGCGGCTGAGATCAGAAGCATCTTAGCCCAAGATCAGCTGGGAGAAACCTGGACAGGAGATGGGACCATGGGCTTAGTCTATGTAGCCACTGCCAGGAACATAAGTCAAGAAGAGGAGGGGCAGCTAACCCTGAAGCTGAGGGCCTTTCAATTCAGGAGGCAGCAGGAATAATGGGGGCAGGCAACTGACTCCGCCTGGTCACTAATTTAACTGTCTGACTTTGGCCAAATCACATGAACACACCCTGGGTGGTGAGCAAATGAGAAGGTGTGTGTGAAAGTGCTTTGGCGAAGCTCCAAGCCCCAGCCAAATGCACAGCGCTGTGTGGTGTCATGGTTAAAATGGTGGGTTTGGGAGAGAAAGGGCCCGAGTGCAAATTCTGCCTCTGCTACTTCCCAGCTATGTGACTCGGTCAAATTATTTAGCCTCCCTGTGCTTCACTGTCCTTCTGTGTAAAATGGAGACAATAACTGTTACTTGACTTGCTATAGTAAGTAGTAATAGTAAACATGGATGATATTGTCCTTAACCTCCTCTGGCTCCCACGGATGTGTTCTGACATCTCCAGCCCTGGAAGGGAAGCTGAGGAGTAGAGTGGGTGTCTGCACCAGGGGGCCCCTGTGAATGGCGGTGCCAGAGACTGGAGAACTCTTCATACAGCCCTCCGTCCCTCTCTGAGAAAGCCCCAAATGTCCTTTCTCATTTAATGGGAATGAGAGTGAGGGTTTGAATAAATAAGAGGTCAAGTGCAGGGCAGTGTCTGTCTCTGTGTGCAGCTCAATGCTGTAATTGTGCTGTGTTAAAGTTTTGCCCAGTGAACAAGGATGGGTTCAGTCTGGGGAGGAAAAGCACTGTTAGAAGGCTCTTTTGTGGCACCTGAGAGCCCTGTGGGTCAGCTTATTCTGTACTCTGTGCCACCTGGTCCTGAGCCCTACTGAGAGATTTAAAGGAGGGAAGAAACCCAATCCTCCCTCTCAGCTCTCCATGTAACAGAGAACAAAGGGCAGTCAGAGCAGGGCAGCAGAAAGCATAGCCAGATACCTCTGGGCACAAGGATGCAATAGGGGACTGAAAGGCTAGGTGGATTGGTCAGGAAAAGCATTGTGGAGGCAGAAGATTGAGGACCAGGATTTAAGCACTGGGAAGGAAAAAGGAAACAGGATCTAGGTGGCCTGGTGTCTAGGCCTGTTCTCCCTACTCCATAAAATCGAGTAGGGAAGTCCCACAGGGGGGTGAAACTTGGAAACAAATACATTAGGATGCTGAGAGCTTCTTAGAAAGCTTAGACACTAAGAAAGCTTCTTAGAGGAGGGGAATCTCTAGTAAGAATTTGAAAGATAAAAACATGACTTTCTCAGCAAGACTATACGGGAAAGTCTTTGAGGAGGAGAGGCTAGTCTGTGGGGGTAAGTAGCAACCTGGAAGCAGACTGCCAGGCCTGTTCTACAATTAAAGAGCGCTAAAGGAATATGGATTCTGCTGTGTGGATTGTGCTGGGGAGAGAGAGGCCTGAGGCAAAGGAGGCAGCTTCTGTTGATCCTCCAGATGTTGGGAGATAAGAGCAGTCTCAGATGACAGTTTTGAGAGTGGAGAGGAAGAGGAGGATCCGGGAGGCCAGGAATGAATCAGCAGGCCTTGGGAGTGGGTGTGGAGTGAACCTGACCTTGAGAAGGGATTAGAAACTACATGCCTGGGAGTGGGGCAGAGCCGGCTGCAAGGGTTTTGATGCTCCTGGCAGCAATAGGGAAACTGGGAAGGCTGGCTAATTTAGGGGACAGGACACAGACCCTGAGTTCAGTGTCTGGCATGTTGAGCATCTTGTGGCCCCAGGTAGAAGTCCTGCAGCCAGGAGGAAACCTGGTGAGGAGAGAAGGAAAAATTCAGTTCTCCCCTACCCGCCCCCTCCCCCCATCCCCTGCCCCACCCCAATCTGGAGACCAGCTGGAGCCTTCAGGAATACCCATCCTGTTAACTCCTCCTCTCACTCACATGCTCCCCCCACCCTCATGCTGAGGGATGATGACAGGTGATAAGACTCAGGTCAAGTTCCCTTTTTTTGCCTTCTCTCCAAACTCAGCCTGATTGTTACCAGGTTTCCTAGGTGATTAGGGAATCCCACCTCATGACCCCTGGATTCCTCCATCCCCGGATTTCTAGGAGCCAGCAGCCCCAAGGCTCAATTTTTTTTTTAGAATAGTTGCACATCCTGGAGTCACCCATTGAAAAGCCGGTTGAACTTCCGTTTTGGTCATGTGTTATTTGATTTTCAGTGACTTTTACAAACTTGGACTAAACCAACAAATATTTGCTGTGCATCTACTATATGCCAGCCCCTGTTCTAGGTACACAGTGTGAGCATATTTGGGTTGGGTTTTTCAATGGAAAATCCGTGCTTGGGTAACTTGAGTTTAAAATGTTATGTAAACATACAATGGACCTAGATACACTGGGCAAAAAACTTGATGGACTTGCTGCAGAAATAACTTTCAGTGCATCTTTCTGGGAAAATAAGCCACAGTAACTGCAGCTTTAGTCTTGGGGAAAAGCTGAAGTGTCGTGAAGGTGTAATTATGGGGAAAGTGACCCCCCACTCCCACCCCAGCATTCTCTAATCAGAAGGGTCAGAGGTGGGAAGGGGGTCTTGGAGGATAATTTGCTACTCTGTTCACAGCATGGAAGAGAGGAAGTGTAATGCTTGCTGTGTCTGATGGTGGGACCGCTTGGGAGGAAAAAAGGCAGAGCCATTTGGCCAAAACAGCCTTTCGGGGTAGCTTGAAATTGACCTGTCCGCTCCCCAGCAGGATGTCTAGCTCTACACACCTGCACAGTGAGAATGGCAACAGAGTCATGGCTTTCCAAAGAACCCTTAATTGAGCCTTAGTCTGAGTAACTGGAGCAAACATCCTTGTGGTGGCGTCAACACCACCTACTTCCTGGCTGCCACGTCTCCTGGAGGTGAGCAGCTCAGCTGATAAACAGAAAGAAACTTTGTTACAAAGAGGCTACCTGGCCAGCAAGGGCGTGTTCTGGGTGGCTGACCCTGGCTTTCACAAAAGCTGACACTTTGCCTAGGACTTCCATTTTTGGCATCTTTAAAGCATTTTTGGTCCTAGGAAGGATTTGGGATAGGACAAGCTCTGCTGAACAGAAGGGAAGGAGTTGTGTTAAGGGTGGAGGTGGGGGCAGGGAAGCTCAGGAACATAGCCCTGCTGAGGCTCAGAAGAGCCAAACCCAGGCCCCAAACCCCCCAGGTGACTTCCAGTGGGGGAGGTAAACGTGTGGTAACAGAGCAGGGCCCTGGGAGCCACAAGCTGTTTGACGCTAGAGAAGTCACCTGACCACTCAGGCCTCCCCTGTAAAATGGTGCTAGATTCACAGGCAGACCTAGTCAAAGGGGCACAACATGTAACAACGGAGTACCATGTAACTCAAATGCTTGTAGTAAACGCATTCACAACATTTAGTGACGGAAGCCCGTGCTTTCCCTGTGGCTCTGATAGGTCACTTGAACCTTTTCCGCCTCACCTCATTTAACAAGACAACCGAGCCTCTCTGGTTCAGGAGAGAACGGACTCCTCTGACGCAGGGCAGGCTGTTTAGAAGTGTGCACAGTACGGTAAGCGGACAGCCCAGGAGAGCGGAATCCTGCTAGATTTGAGAGGCTTTGGGGAGGAGGCTAGGATGTGAAATGGAGGGATCGGTCAAACACACTGCCTTTCAAACTTCTCTGGTTGGACCGAAATAAGAAAGACATTTTACAAACTTAGTACCCATTCCCATGTGACAGGGTATGCCAGAAGTCTTTGGGCTGTTTTATACTTTAATCACATCAGGGGTATGAATTCTACAAATAAAACAAAAATCATTTGAAAATTCAGTCATTCATATTTCTTTTACCTTATTTAGTTTTATAAATTTTGAATAGCAAAATTTTCATTTTAATTTTGTGTTGGGAAATGTTTATCATCTTCAGGGGACTGAGACAGACTTTGAAATAAAATTTTATTATTCAAAATTCATAAAAATAAGATACAATATTTAAATAAAACTTTCAAATGAAATTCTAAGTCTGTAGGATTTATACTTCTGAAGTTGTTAAAGCCTAAAACTACACTAAGTCTTTTGGTAGACTCTATGTATGTATATATAATACCTGAAATTTTAGCAAGATAATACCCATCTCACATGTGATGCACTTTGGTATTTTCTTTGTTCTATTTTACTCTGATCTTTTACAGATTTTTTTTCAAGCTGATTTGCAACACTCTAAATTTATTTTGCGATCTATTGTGGGTGTGATCAATGGCTATATGTGGGGGGGGGGGTGAAGCCTCAGTCCCCTTATACCTGTAAGAAAAGGTAAGTTTGTATTCAGGCTAGAGGGGTCAGAAAAGCAGGTCCCATTTGTTCAATCTAGGAAAACTTACTGTAAGAAGAGGATTTCTGGCATCATTTCAGGACTAAAGCCAAAATGATCCAATGTGTTACAATCCCAAGGGTGGCGGGAGGAAGAACTGGGAATGAACACTCAGTAGCAGCAGAGGGGGAACGAGTGGATGAGGGCACCCTTGCCAGTGCCCCAAGAGGCCAGGTGGTGGGAACCTGAAGGTGAGGGAGCCACATTGGACACTGCGGGGAGGATCCTCGAGGCCCTGCACTTGACAAAGACCTGTATATCCAGTAGGGGCTCTTCTTCCCTAAGGCTGGGGCGGGGTCGCAGCCAGCCTTGCTAACCGGACTTCTAGGAATCTTCTGTTACACACAGAGTAGGCGTCTTTAATCCCAAAATCTTCTGGCTTCTGTAGGATTATGTGTCTTTTCTAAGGGGCTCTTTCCTACCGCCTACATGCTGAACAAACAAACTCAGATCTAGTTCTTTAAATGCTAAAGTTAATCTCAGGTGTCTTGTTTCATTTCAGGATGTAGTTAGTACTTTGAGGAACTGCAGGCTCCAGAGCAAAAGCCTTAAAACAGCCACATTGGATCAAGAGAGCAGATGCCTAAGAAAGGCTCAATTTAACGCTAGTTCTCTCTCTCTCTAGGGGAAATAAAAGGAAAAAGGCAAACCCCACTGCAAGTGACTATAAGGCGATGCCAGGACGAGTGAGTGAGAGTGACTTGGGTGATTCTGAGTGAGTCAGTCAGGGAGGCCTTCCTGGAGGAGGTGAGTCTTGAGCACTTGGCAGCAGCGGTTACCTATGCCTTTGTCTCTAACGGTGGTTTCTTTCTGGCTGGAGTAGGAAGGTAGGAAGTATTGGGGAGGATGCAGCCTGCATTCAGGATGGCAGGCACTCTGTCATGCCAAACACTTCCTCATTTTATGGTCCCCATTGTCTGTCTTTGCTGGGGCAGTTCCAGAACTGATGAGGTATCTAGCTCAAGCAGGGCCCTTTGTGCTGGCCCAGCATAACTCAAACCCCCAGGGCAGGAATCTGCCTCTACATGAAGTTCCCATTTCCTCCTTCCACCCTTCTTCAAGCCCAAGGAGCTCTACATTTCTCAACTTAACACTTAATGTCTGTGCTATTATTTTAAATTTTATTTGTTTTTAAATAGGTTAAAGTAGGTCTGACCCAAGATAGTAGCAGGGCTGACAAGAGATGATGTGATGAAGGAAAACTCTCTTTGGTGATGGGGTGGGGCAATTCACCCCAGTTGGGACACAGAGGGACACAGGGAGGTATGAGACAATTCCCATTACCAAGGGGTTTTTAAACCTAGTTGAAGAGTAAGAACTACTTGCACTGGGTCCAGGTAGCACCAGTCCAGGAAGTGGACAGCCTTCCTCCGGCCCCTCTTCACTGGCCATCCAGCTGCCGATTAGGTTCATTTCCTAGACCAGCTGTCATATTGCTCTTCCTGTAATGCTGGTCTCTGGCTAATCCTTTACCGCTCCCTGTACCTCAGGTCAAGGGCAGACTCCTGGCATGACAACTTGTTGCCTCTCCAGGCCCATCCTCTGCTACTCGCAGCAGACCTACTTCCTCCATCCTGAACAACTTGTGGTTCTCTGATTGCCCATGCTGTCCCCTGCCACTAGACCTTTGTGCTGTTCCCTCTGCCTGAACTGTGCTCACCTCGCTGGCCAACTCGACTTGTATGTTAGTGTTTTACCCAGGTTTCTTTCTTCCTCTGAAGGACAAATGCCACCCTCCCCACTTGCTGAGTTTCCTGTATCCTCTCTTCCTCAGCACCAAGGGTGCCTCTCTCATGCTCTCTTCTCACTGCGTGATCTCCATTTAAAATCCAACTTCCCTAGGGAGCATCTCCAACTGGCTAGACAGATACTGCCCAAGTCATGAATTGCTTAATAAAACCAATTAGATCTTCAATAAAATAAATAAAATCTGACTTTCCCAAATGACTGTGAATTCCTTGAAGACTGGGCTTGCTCCTCTCTGCATCCTCCCCAATCATGACTGAGAAAAACTTTATGAATTTCTGCCTAGGCATTTTAGTTTGATAACAGTGCTTACACCCAGAGTCTGGATATTTAAAGTTGAGTTTACAATGCCCGCCATTAAGTTCCTCCATTGCTTCTCTTGGAATGCCTTTTAAAATAACCGCCTAGAGTTAAGCCTGAGAAAAGTTAGTGAGCTCTGCCCCAATCACCTTATAGGTAATAGGTGCTTGGCAGCCCTGCTATCTCCTGTTCACTTGACTGGGTTGGAAGACTGCCCTTCCCCAGCTCACTGCGCCCCCTCGCTTCTGGGATCTGTAAGTAATAATAAATCTGTGACTACTTCCTTTGTGTGGGTCTGTTGAAGCTGTGCCTTCAATCAAAACGACCCCGTGGGTGTCACTCCCCCAAGGCGGGAGCTCAGATGCCAAGGGAGCTACTTGCTGAGCCCATGTGGGTGGCTCATGCCATGCCCCCTCACTCAGCAGGTCACAATCTGCATACTGTTAATTCAATACACCAGCTCTGGCTTCTCAACACACCCCTGTAGCAGAGTCCCTGGCATATAGCAGGTAGTCAGTCAATACTGGGAGAATGAACATAGCTCTCCGGTCTCTTAGACTCTTACACAGCTCCTAATACAAAATAGATGCTCAAAGAGATTTCATCTCATTTGACTTTAGATGCTGCTGCTGAATCTGATGTTACAAAAGAAAAGCACCTGTCTCCCCCAGCCCAGAGTTACCCCTGCTCCCTCTGGCCATCATGACAGCTGCATATTCCCCAGATCCAAGTGACTCCAGCCAGTAGGCTTCTCCACAGGCAGGAGCTTGTGTATTTAAATAACAGCATCAAATAGCTTGACAGGAGTTACTTTTAAGCAAGATAATACTATGAAGTAATGAGTGTGGCTTTGGCCAAGGACCAGCTGCTAGAGGATAATTACTGGCAAGCTGAGCAGGGATTTGTTCTTTATAATAGAAAATTGATACTGTTTATTGAAGGCTTAGTATGTGCCAGGCACTCTGCTGGGTATCTTGCATACATTATCTCTGACTTAATCCTCACTACAATGCTGTGAGTTAGGTATTAGTTACCTCCACTTTATAGATGAGGAAATTGAGGCTTAGAGAGATTAAGAAATTTGCCTAAGGGTCACACAGGTGCTAATGACAAAACCTAACACTTTTTGAGAACTTACTGTATGCAGAGACTGCTAAACTTTTCCATGAATTATTTCATTCAACTTCTCCTTATAACAACCCTAGGAGGTAGTTGCGATGATTACTAGAAGGGGCAGAACCGGGATTTGTGCCCAGGTGTATTGCCACCAACATCTAGTGCTCAAACCAGTGAGCCTGATGCTTCCATCCTCTGAGCTGTGGGACCACGTGCCTGGGGGTGAAAGCTGGTGAGCTCCCGAGCCCAGTCGTGCCTGGAAGGTCTTAGAATCTTAGATTTTATTAAATACGAGTTGATACAGAACAACACTTACATGTGTAGAGTATGAAAAATAATAGTGCCACCAGCAGCCATCATCCCCTTTAAGTAAAAAGACTCTACTTTCAAGGCCCCTGGCACCTCTATTCCCATAACTCTTCCTCCCTCTTCAGAAACTTTGGTTTCATCAATTTCTTTTGTTTTCTTCATAGCTTTACCACAAAATCATTTTTTTGGAACAGTATTTTGTATATATAAACAATATGCTGTTCAGTGTTACCTGTTCTTAAATTTCCTATAAATGCAGTCCAACTGTTTGTCTCTTTGTGTGGCCTGCTTTTTTCACTCACTGTTCCGTCCATGCCATTGCATGTAGAAGTCGTTCATTCTTTGCATCGCTGTAGAGTATTCCTGAGTGTGGGTCTTTCACACTGTTCATTCTACTGCCCGCTGACATTTGGATTGTTTCCAATTTCGGCCATTTTAGTCAGTGCTGCTAGAAACATTCTGGTATATGTCTCCTGGCACATGAGCACCGGAGGTTATTGGGTATAAAACAAGGAGAACTGGGGGGTTCTAGGGTGCGTACATTTTAAATTTTACTTGATGATGCCAACTTGTTGCCCAAGTGATTATGTTGATTAAATCTGTTCATGTAGAGTTTCGGTGTTCCAGTTGTGCTAGATCCATGAATGTAAGAATCTTCGGGCAGGAAAGAAAACACCGAGTCCTGTTTCCTCATTTTACGGGCGGAGATTACTTCAGTGTAGGAAAGTTAAGGGACCAGCAATAGTGATGTTAGCGGCAGCAGAGCCTGGACTCAAACCCCAAGCCCCCAGGCTCTCCCCCCACCCCTGCCTTGGCTCATTGCTCTCTCTCATCCCCTCCTTTCTCAGGCTGAGGCCCCCCCGTGTGGCCACCGCAACACATCGAACTATTTCTAGGGTCAGGCCCAGCACCCGGAGCTGACCCTGCCCGGGCCCTGAATGGTTCCAGAGGATGAGGCTCCTCCGCAGACGCCACATGCCCCTGCGCTTGGCCGTGGTGGGCAGCGCCTTCGTGCTCTTCCTCTTCATCCTGCAGAGGGATGTAAGCAACAGGGAACAGGTCACAGAGAAACCGTGGCTGAAGTCCTTGGTGAGCCAGAAGGATCACGTCCTGGACCTCATGTTGGGAGCTGTGAACAACATTAAGGACTCAATGCCAAAGCTCCAAATCAGGGCCCCGGAGCCCCAGGAAACAGCGGTCACCACAAACCAGTCCTGCCTCCCTGGGTTCTACACTTTAGCTGAGCTGAAGCCCTTCTGGGAACGGCCCCCCCAGGACCCCAACAGCCCTGGGGCAGATGGGAAAGCATTTCAGAAGAGCGAGTGGAGCCCCCTGGAGACCCAAGAGAAGGAAGAGGGCTACAAGAAGCACTGCTTCAATGCCTTTGCCAGTGCTCGGATCTCCCTGCAGAGGGCGCTGGGGCCAGACACCAGGCCCCCTGAGTAAGCAGCAGCCATGGTCCTGGGGGGAGGCCAGGGCTTTGCCAGAGATGTGGCTGGCATGGCTATGATCATGACCACAGGCTGAATGTCAGGTGAATTGCTGACAGGGATTAGAATTTGGGCAAAGATTTCCTGTAAGCCCTCACTTCTTTTCATAACCAGCTGCCCTTATCCCAGGGGTTGGGGTTCCAGAGTGTTATGGTCAGGCCAGAGGCCCAGGGAGACCTACGAGCGTGACACAGTTATGAAGGTGAGAGGATCCAAAAGGAGGGACTCAGGCCTGGGACCGGGGCCTGGCGCCAGGGCAATGGGAAGGGCCGTCCGAGTCCCCAGTTTTGGAGGTCTTGCCCTGTGCTGAGTGCACAGGCTCCAGAGATGGTGGGACTGCTGCCGAGCTGTTGGGAAGGGACATCTCCTGACAGCAGCTCTGGGGTGGACACGATCCCCCCACCTCCTGGTTTCCTTCAGTGAAGGCCCACAGGGCCATGAATTCAACCCAACCTTTATTTGAAGCTGCTTATGCTTTCAATCCTGGACAGTGACCCAGCACTCAGATCTTTGAGCTGTGGCCACCTCACTCTAATGTGATGTAGCAGTGCTCACACCCTCCCCAAGTCAAAGATTTTGTGTCCTTCTCACTTCAACTCTGTCTTTCCAACTTAAGAGTTACACCCTTTTAGGCCTTTCTTGCATGGCAGCCCCCAACCTCAAATTCATCTCTAGGGCTGTGAACCTGGGGTTCCTCAATAGGAACCACATGATAGGGTCCCAGAAGGCAGAACCACCTGGAGTTGTCAGGAGCTCTTCAGCAGGGAGGGCCCTGGGCCTGAGGGGAGCCAGTGGAGGAGGTTTGGGCGTCTCCTCTGGAGGGTCCTCTGGAGCTCTCTCTAGCCAGGAGGGGGTAAGAAAGGGAGTTAGGTCACACAGTTCCTTGAGATCCAGATTCCCACATTCCCAGCACCACCTGAGATGGAGTGCCAAGGGGGTAGCGGTGTGCCCAAGTGCAGAGTGGTTGAGGTGAGTGGGGGTAGAGAAAGGCCCCGGGAAATTGTATGTGATAGGAGTGTCAGATTACAGGGGACTCATGAGGAATAGGATCTGAGAAGAACTTTAAATTGTAAAGAGAAGAGCCTTTTTCTCTCGTTGAGGATGGAAACTGTAGTCACTTTTCCCAGAGGTCCCATTTGCCCTTTCTGACTTCCACTCTGGGACCTCGGGATTGGATTGCACTTTTTGCAGGACACATATAACTGAGGAAGAGAGAGTCGGCGCTGGGAACTTCGAGAGCAGCTGAGAGAAGCCCAAGGGCAGGGGGAGTGTCAGCATCGCAGCCAGGGCACCAAGCCAGCTCTGAGGGAGAGGGGTTTGGGTGTGGGCTGGCTGGGACCTGTGCGAGGCCCCAGGAGGTGGCAAATACTGCATAACGCAGCAACAAGGGGCGACTCTTCTCAACCACACCAGAGAATGTGGGCTGGTGCTTCTGAGGAGCAGGGGATGGCTGTGGAAATGTGTGGACAGGGCTCTCCCCACCTCCTGAACTCCCAGGGGCCTGGAAAGCTGTATCTACACTTTCTTCCTCCCAGATGTGTTGACCAGAAGTTCCGGCGCTGCCCCCCACTACCCACCACCAGCGTCGTCATCGTGTTCCACAATGAAGCCTGGTCCACGCTGCTGCGAACGGTGTACAGTGTCCTGCACACCAGCCCCGCCATCCTGCTTAAGGAGATCATCCTGGTGGACGATGCCAGCACTGAGGGTGAGGATAGAGGGCCCCTGAGGAGGGGCTGGCACCTCTCTTGGTACTCCGGGCAGGAGGGGCAGCTTCTCGAGGGAGCAGGCACCCTCACCGCCTGTTGCCTGGCATTACTAAAGACCAGGAGCAGGTGGAAGGCGGGTGAGGGACAGGAAGGTGGGGAATGGGGGCAGGTAGACTACATTCCTAGAGCCTGGACTTCCTCCCCATGTCACCCAGAGAGCTCCAAAAGCTTTGCACTCCTGACTTCTAAGACTCCCTTAGAGCTGCCAAGCCCAGCTCCAAGGCAGAAATGCTGGGAGAAGTCAGGGCAGAGGGTGGGGACAGGCCTTCCCCTCGGTTTCCTACCTGCTGGCCACCCTTCTGCTCTTGGAGATTCCACCTCAGAAGCCCTTTCCTCTATGTTGGCAATAGGCAAATGAACTTCTCACCAAACTTCCACCGTTTAAAGCAATGCCACAGACATACTGAGTACTCTGCCTGGTACTGACCTAGGTACGGGGGAATCATAACAAATGACAAGTGAAACAGATCTTGCACTGAAAAGGTAACAACCCTTGCAGGTCAGATGGCCGCTTACAACACCAGTGTGGCCTGGAACCCTCCCCTGATGGATCCGAAAGGGCATGAACTTGAGAGTCACCCCAGAATTCAAAGCCCAGCCCTGACTTCCTAGCTCTGTCACCTTGGGAAGGATACTTAGCCCCTCTAAACCTCAGTTTCCTCTTCAAAAAATGAAGACAATTCACATGGCAAGGGATCAGAGACAGGTGATAAGTGAAATAATTCATGTGCCTGTGGAGTACTTAGCATTGAGTGAGAGTCCCATCATCCCTGGTTTCAGTTTGGTCTTTGTATGGGAACAGTGAGTTACGGAACTGTGCAGCCAGGCAGCGTTGCTTCTGTGTGGCACAGCTGGAACAGTCCACGGTGGAGGCCAGGCTGGGGCTGGGCCTCTGAGCATGAATGTCTAGGGAGAGAAGACACGTTGAAGGGCTTTCCTAGAAGAGAGAAAGGCATAAGCAGAGTCCTAGAAACAGAGGTGCATTTGTGCAAAATTGAGGGGTTTGGTGTGCTGAAGCTTAGGTTTATTGTAGGAAATGACACTACAAAGATGTCAAATTGAAATTCATGACTTACTAAAAGTATTTACTTAGAAAAAATGAGGAGTCATTGAAGGTGTTTAACCTGGATAGTGATCTCGTCTCAGAAGGACGCAGCTCTGGGGGAAGGTGCTTTTCAGGAAGAGAGGCAGGACCTCCAGTCTGTACAGGAAGTTCTTCGAATCACCTGAGAGTGAGATGAGGGGGCGGAACTAGGAGAGGGGCTGTGGGACCCATGCATCACTGTTAGACTGGGAGTGTCCAGGAGCTGAGCCCTGCTTCCTAGTGGCGCATGGCATCTGGGGCTCTCCCAGGATGGCCTGCTGTGCCCATGGTCCCATAGGGAGGGCAGGCACTGACCCCACACTTACCAGTGTATGCCCTGGGGCCAATCCAGTACAACTGCTGCCTGCTGACCTGACCGTCCTCCAGCCTGCCTCCTGCCCTGTGATGCTGACAACTGGAGCAGGGCTGGGGAAGGCGGTGGAGGAGGGCTGAGTGTGAGCACTGTGCTGTCCAGCACTTTGGGGAGCTCACAGTTCCTCAGGGAGGGCAGACACCTTAGTGGCACTTAAAAAGCAAAAGTAAACAAGTATTAGGAGCACAGTGAGAGGGTCTGGTGGACAGGGAGGGTAGAGGTAGGCTTCTGGAAAGAGAAGGACAAAGAGTTTGGCAGAGCTACGCATGATATGGGCATGGCCTCGGGGGAATCTTAGTAGCGATTGAATGGTGGACAGAATGTTATCAGCTGCCTTTTCTCTTAAACTGGGTTCTCCAGTAACCCTTCTACCCCCAGCCCTATATCACCCATTCCTCAAAGGCTTCTTCTCTCAAATCACTGTGGTAGAAGTTCTAAACTGTTTCAGCTTGTCACCCAGAATTTTGTGAGTCTATAAGGTACAAGTCCCCTGACCATGCTAGACAAGTGACATGATGCCAGACTTGCACAGCAGCATCTAAAGGGCCCCGCAGCCTGTGCCCAGTAGGATGGGCTCTGCAGTGACCTCACAGCCCCTCCGAGGGGCTAGCCACAAGCAGGCCACCACACATGTTCCCTGTTCTCTGGGTGGCTCTCCCTTGTTGCCCAGGAGTCACTCTCAGGGCCAGTTCCAGCACCTGGGCTCACCTGCCTGACGCACCTACACCAGTCAACCCTCCTTGTTCTTCTGGCTTCTGGCCTCCTTTGAGAATCTATTCAAAGCTATGCCCCTCTCCCTAGAATAGTGCATGATTGCCCCACCTCTGGGCACACACCCACAATTTTGCATGTAATTCCAGGGATTTTGTGGATCCTAGGATAAACAACCCTAGTTTGAGGGCTTTCAAACTCTAGAGATACTTTCAGCAATGCTCAGTTCAGTGGGGAACAGGAAAAAATAAATCCATGATCAGAAATCCCTGCAGTCCACAGTGGGATAAAATTTCCCACACATTTGACTGTTTGATCAGATTAACTGGCTCTCATTACGCACATACAAATAAGGGCTGTGTCTCGGCTAAAATAATGTCCATGCCCTCTACCCTCCTACCCAGGTGCCTGGCAGCACTTCTATGACAATGAGTCTAGGCATGTGATACTGGTCTTGCTGGGGGAAGGGACCCAGTACCAGGCTGGGGAACTTTTTCTTTCCCACCTCAGAGTCTGAACACCAGGCACAGATTTCTTTTCTTTCTTTTTTTTTTATTAAGGTATTATTGATATACACTCTTATGAAGGTTTCACATGAAAAAACAATGTGGTCACTACATTCATCCCTGTTATCATGTCCCCCCCATACCCCATTGCAGTCACTCCCATCAGTGTGGTAAGATGCCACAGAGTCACTATTTGCCTTCTCTAAGCTACACTATCTTCCCCCTGATTCCCCCCACCCCATGTGCATCAATCATAATACCCCTGAATCCCCTTCTCCCTCCCTCCCCAACCACCCTCCCTCACTCCTCCCCTTTGGCAACTACTAGTCCCTTCTTGGAGTCTGTGAGTCTGTTGCTGTTTTGTTCCTTCAGTTTTGCTTCATTGTTATACTCCACAAATGAGGGAAATCATTTGGTACTTGTCTTTCTCTGCCTGGCTTATTTCACTGAGAATAATATCCTCCAGCTCCATCCATGTTGTTGCAAATGGTAGGATTTGTTTTCTTCTTATGGCTGAATAATATTCCATTGTGTATATGTACCACATCTTCTTGATCCATTCATCTACTGATGGACACTTAGGTTGCTTCCATATCTTGGCTATTGTAAATAGTGCTGCAATAAACATAGGGGTGCATATGTCTTTTTGAATCTGAGAAATTATATTCTTTGGGTAAATTACTAGGAGTGGAATTTCTGGGTCAAATCGTATTTCTAGTTTTAGTTTTTTGAGGAATCTCCATATTGCTTTCCACAATGGTTGAACTAGCATACATTCCTACCAGCAGTGCAGGAGGGTTCCCCTTTCTCTGCATCCTTGCCAGCATTTGTTTTTCTTGGTCTTTTCGATACTGGCCATCCTAACTGGTGTGAGGTGATGCCTCATTGTGGTTTTTATTTGCATTTCCCTGATAATTAGTGATGTGGAGCATCTATTCATGTGCCTGTTGGCTATCTGAATTTCTTCTTTGGAGAAGTGTGTGTTCATATTCTCCACCCATTTTTTAATTGGGTTATTTGCTTTTTGGTTGTTGAGGCATGTGAGTTCTTTATATATTTTTGATGTTAACCCCTTGCCAATATGTCATTTACAAATATATTCTCCATACTGTAGGATGCCTTTTTGTTCTGTTGATGTTGTCCTTTGCTGTACAGAAGCTTTTTAGTTTGATATAGTCCCATATGTTCATTTTTGCTTTTGTTTCCCTTGCCCAAGGAGATGCATTCAGGAAAAAGTTGCTCATGTTTACATTCAAGAGATATTTTTGCCTATGTTGTCTTCTAAGAGTTTTATGGTTTCATGACTTACATTCAGGTCTTTGATCCATTTTGAGTTTACTTTTGTGTATGGAATTAGACAATAATACAGTTTCATTCTGTTGCATGTAGCTGTCCAGTTTTGCCAACACCAGTTGTTGAAGAGGCTGTCATTTCCCCATTGTATGCCCATGGCTCCTTTATCATATATTAATTGACCATATATGCTTGGGTTTATATCTGGGCTTTTTAGTCTGTTCCATTGTTCTGTGGGTCTGTTCTTGTGCCAGTACCAAATTGTCTTGATTACTGTGGCTTTGTAGTAGAGCTTGAAGTTGGGGAGCATAATCCCCCAGCTTTATTCTTCCTTCTCAGGATTACTTTGGCTATTCAGGGTCTTTTGTGGTTCCACATGAATTTTAGAACTATTTGCTCTACTTCATTGAAGAATGCTGTTGGTATTTTGATAGGGATTGCATTGAATCTGTAGATTGTTTAGTCAGGATGGCCATTTTGACAATATTAATTCTTCCTATCCATCAGCACGGGATGTGTTTCCTTTTATTGGTATCTTCTTTAAGTTCTCTCATGAGTGTCTCATAGTTATCAGAGTATAGGTCTTTCACTTCCTTGGTTAGGTTTATTCCCAGGTATTTTATTCTTCTTGCTGCAGTTGTGAATGGAATTGTTTTCCTGATTTCTCTTTCTGCTAGTTCATCATTAGTGTACAGGAATGCAACAGATTTCTGTGTATTAATTTTGTATCCTGCAACTTTGCTGAATTCAGATACTAGATCTGGTAGTTTTGGAGTAGACTCTTTAGGGATTTTTATATACAATATCATGTCATCTGCAAACAGGGACAGTTTAACTTCTTCTTTACCAATCTGGATGCCTTTTATTTCTTTGTGTCTGATTGTTGAGGCGAGGACCTCCTAAACTATGTTGAATAAAAGTGTAGAGAGTAGGCATCCTTGTCTTATTCCTGATCTTAAAGGAAAGGCTTTCAGCTTCTCGCTGTTAAATATGATGTTGGCTGTGGGTTTGTCATATATGGCCTTTAATATGTTGAGGTACTTGCCCTCTATACCCATTTTGTTGAGAGTTTTTATCATGAATTGATGTTGAATTTTGTTGAATGCTTTTTCAGCATTTATGGAGATGATCATGTGGTTTTTGTTCTTTCCGTTGATGTTGTGGATGATGTTGATGGATTTTCAAATATTATACCATCCATGCATCCCTGGAATAAATCCTACTTATCATGATGGATAATGTTTTTGGTGTATTTTTTAATTTGGTTTGCTAATATTTTGTTGAGTATTTTTGCATCTATGTTCATCAGGGATATTGGTCTGTAATTTTCTTTTTTGGTGGTGTCTTTGCCTGGTTTTGGTATTAGGGTGATCCTGGCCTCATAGAATGAGTTTGGAAGTATTCCCTCGTCTTCTACTTTTTGGAAAAATTTAAGGAGAATGGTATTAGGTCTTCACTAAATGTTTGATAAAATTCAGTGGTGAAGTCATCTAGTCCAGGTGTTTTGTTCTTAGGTAGTTTTTTGATTACCAATTCAATTTCATTCCTAGTAATTGGTCTGTTCATATTTTCTGTTTCTTTCTGGGTCAGCTTTGGAAGGTTGTATTTTTCTAGAAAGTTGTCTATATCTTCTAGGTTATCCAGTTTGTTAGCATATAATTTTTCATAGTATTCTCTAATAATTATTTGTGTTTCTGTGGTGTCTGTAGTGATTTTTCCTTCCTCATTTTTTATTCTGTTTATGTGTATAGACTCTCTTTTTTTCTTGATAAGTCTGGCTAGGGGTTTATCTATTTTGTTTATTTTCTCAAAGAACCAGCTCCTGCTTTCATTAGTTCTTTCTATTGTTTTATTCTTCTCGATTTTATTTATTTCTGCTCCAATCTTTATTATGTCCCTCCTTCTACTGACTTGGGCCTCATTTGTTCTTCTTTTTCTACTTTCATTAATTGTGAGTTTAGACTGTTCTTATGAGATTGTTCTTTTTTCCTGAGGTAGGCCTGTATAGCAATATACTTCCCTCTTAGCACAGCCTTCGCTGCATCCCACAGATTTTGTGGTGTTGAGTTACTGTTGTCATTTGTCTCCATATATTGCTTGATCTCTGTTTTTATTTGGTCATTGATCCATTGGTTATTTAGGAGCATGTTGTGAAGCCTCCATGTGTTTGTGGGATTTTTCATTTTCTTTGTATATTTTATTTCTAGTTTCATATCTTTGTGGTTTGAGAAGCTGGTTGGCACAATTTCAATCTTTTTGAATTTACTGAGGCTCTTTTTGTGGCTGAGTATATGATGTATTCTTGAAAATGTTCCATGGGCACTTGAGATGAATGTGTATCCTGGTGCTTTTGGGTGGAGAGTTCTGTAGACGTCTGTTAGGTCCATCTGTTCTAATGTGTTACTCAGTGCCTCTGTCTCCTTACTTATTTTCTGTCTGGTTGATCTGTCCTTTGGAGTGAATGGAGTGTTGAAGTCTCCTAGAATGAATGCATTGCATTCTATTTTCCCTTTTAAATTCAGTTAGTATTTATTTCACATATGTAGGTGCTCCTGTGTTGGGTGCATAAATATTTATAATGGTTATATTCTCTTGTTGGATTGACCCCTTTATCATTATGTAATGTCCTTCTTTGTCTCGTGACTTTCTTTGTTTTGAAGTCTATTTTGTCTGATACTAGTACTACAACTCCTGCTTTTTTCTCCCTATTAGTTGCATGAAATATCTTTTTCCATCCCTTGACTTTTAGCCTGTGTATGTCTTTGGGTTTGAAGTGAATCTCTTGTAGGCAGCATATAGATGGGTCTTGTTTTTTATCTATTCAGTGACTCTATGTCATTTGATTGGTGCATTCAGACCATTTACATTTAGGGTGATTATCAGTAGGTATGTACTTATTCCCATTGCAGGCTTTAGATTCCTGGTTACTAAAGGTTCAAGGGTAACTTCCTTACTATCCACACAACATGTCGATTGGTATTACAAACACAATCTAAAGGTTTTTTTTTCTTCTCCTCTCCTTTTTCTTCTCCATTCTTTATATATATTATTTATCATATTCTGTACTCTTATCTGTCCCTTGACTGACTTTGGGGATAGTTGATATAATTTTGCATTTGCTTAGTAATTAACTGTTTTACTTTCTTTACTGTGGTTTTATTACCTCTGGTGGCAGCTATTTAACCTTAGGAACACTTCCATCTAGAGCAGTCCCTCCAACATACACTGTAGAGTTGGTTTGGGAAGGTAAATTCTCGGAGCTTTTCCTTATCTGGTAATTGTTTAATCCCTCCTTCAAAGTTAAATGATAATCTTCCAGGTAGAGTATTCTTGGTTCCAGGCCCTTCAGCTTCATTGCATTAAATACATCATGCCACTCCCTTCTGGCCTGTAGGGTTTCTGCAGAGAAGTCTGATGGTAGCCTGATGGTTTTTCCTTTGTATGTGATCTCTTTCCTCTCTCTGCTGCTTTTAATAGTCTGTCCTTATCTTTTTTCTTTGCCATTTTAATTATTATACATCTTGGTTTTGTCCTCCTTTGGTCCCTTGTGTTGGGAGATCTGTGCACCTCCATGGCCTGAGAGAATATCTCCTTTCCAAGATTGGGGAAGTTTTTAGCAATTAACTCCTCAAATACACTTTCTATCCCTTTTTCGCTCTCTTCTTTCTGGTACCCTGATAATATGAATATTGTTCCATTTGGATTGGTCACACATTTCTCTCAGTATTCATTCATTCCTAGAGATCCTTTTTTCTCTCTGTGCCTCAGCTTCTTTGTATTCCTCTTCTCTAATTTCTGTTTCATTTATCATCTCCTCCACCATATCTAATCTGCTTTTAAAACCCTCCATTGTGTTCTTCAATGATTGGATCTCCATCCTAAATTCATTCCTGAGTTCTTGAATATTTTTCTATACCTCCAGGAGGATGTTTATGATTTTTATTTTGAAATCTTTCAGGAAGATTAATTAGTTCAGTCTCACTTGACCCTTCTTCTGGTGTTTGTGAGATTTTGCTTTGAACCAGGTTCCTTTAATGTTTCATATTTGTGTGTGGCTCCCTCTAGCACCCAGAAGCTCGACTCTCTCGAGCTGCTCAACCTCTGGAATGATGTCGGGGGTCACAGGGGAGCGGTGCTGGTGCCTGTGGGGAGGAAAGAGCTGTTTCCTATTTCCTGGCTGCTAGCTTGTCTCCACTGCCAGAAACAGTGGGCCGAACACACAGGTGTAAGCCTCAAAGCTTTGCATTTGTAGCTGCTGTAGGTTGGGCTTCTTTCTGGCTGGCCTGACCCCAGGGCATGGTTTGCTGGTTTGCGAGCCAGGTGCAGGCTGGCCAGGAGCAAAGTGCAGCAGGCTGTGTGTCACGGTGGGGGGCCTTGGAGGTACATAGCCAGCCATGGAGATGGAGCACCTGAAGATCCTGAAAGTTTCTAACCTACTGAGCAGAATGCACCCAGACAATTTTGTCTACCTGTCCTTTCTCCTGAGCAATAAGCTCTGTGCAATTCTTGCCCCTTTAGCAGCCTTCTCACTGTTAGGAAGTCTCTGAAAACTGCCTGCCCAGACCAGCCGGATATGGATCCATTTTCCACAAGCAGCTGGAATCTCAGTCTCTCCAGGTATTCCAGCTGTCTTAGCTTTCCAACCCCACTAATCACCAGAGCACCATGCAGTGTAGGTTCATGTTCCCAGAGCAGATCTCCAGGGCTAGGTGTTCAGCAGTCCCAGCCCTCCACTCCCTCCCCACCCCATTTCTCTTCCTTCTGCCGGTGAGCTGGGGTGGGGTAAGGGCTTGGGTCCTGCCGGGTCACAGCTTTGGTAGTTACCCTGTTCCATGAGGTCTGTTCTTTTCTCCAGGTGTTTGCAGTCCGACACAGCCTTCTTTCCTATTGCTCTTTCAGGATTAGTTGTATTAATTGTATTTTCATATTGTATGTGATTTTAGAAGGAGGTCTCTTTCTCACCTCTCACATCGCCATCTTTAATTCTCCAGGCACAGATTTCATTCCTGTGTGGCCAGAACAGCAGCCAGGTTCACTCCAGTCTGCACACTCCACAAGCTTCTGCAGATTGGCCCTGCAGGCCCATCCATCTACCGTGCCCCAAACAGAGCATCCCCATGTCGAAAGCCCTGCCTGGCCCCTGCAGGAGGCTGAGAAGGAGAGAATCTAGTGGATTTTGTTAGATGTATGGGAGGAAATCAGACACATAACCAGGAGACCCAGAAAACTGAGAGGTGAATGGACCCTTAGTGAGCATGTTTCTTCTGGAAAGAGGAGGAGTGAGGAGGTGGGGTTGGCCAGGGAGGGGTGCTCTGGGAAGGGAAGGGAGGGGGTTGGCAGGTGAAGAAAAGGAGAAGACAAAGCCCTGAAGTCAGGAAACACTGTGTGAATCCCCAAAAAGGAGACATTTGGGGAACACCTTGGATTAGTCCAAGATTTCTCCTGCTTCCACCTCCCCTTGCTGCTCTGATTTGAAGTGCGTGGCCTCCTAAACTCCTGAGAGGTGCTAGTAATGCAAGTCAGGAATTGTTCAAGGGCTGATTTTAATTGAAGTACAACTTCCAGTGTCTATTCCAACAGGTAAAGTTGCTTTATCACCTCTATCTACTACCTCTGTACTTGTTTTATAATAGAGAGAGATGTCTCTATAGTAACTCTTACATCCTGAATTTTCTGGGAAAGTTTTCATTTCCATATTTTCTTCTGTTTCTTCCCATAAAGAAATTCTCCTATTTCCACATGTGTATTTCATCTGTCAGTCTCTTCTTACACCCAGAAATGGAAAATGGCCAACAATGAGTCTTTACTTGGGTTTGAAAATATGGCCCAGTGTTGAAATGTTCTGTCAGGACAGGTAGATTGTAGAATACTCCTAAAGGGTGTTATACTTGTTTATTTCTTTTTATCCTTCTAAAAGAAATTAATTAAAAAAAAAACAGTTGCAGTTAGATTTGAAGCTGGATAGAATATAGGTGGCCATGACAGTGGAATAAAAACCAAACAGGAAAAATTATACAGGAAATCCTCTCTGTAAGAAAATCTCTGTTTTCCTTTCCTAGATTTTTCAGAAGCCAAGGAAGATGGGGACAGTCCAGAAGAGAAGAGTAGATAAAGGCAGGAGTTCACTGATTTGCTTAATAATTATTTTTTAGTTTCTACCAGGCACCAAACCCTATTCTAGGCCCTGGGGGTACAGCAGAAAACAGGTTAGGCTAAGTCTGTATCTTCTTGAAGCTAGTCTTTTAATGGGAAAGAGAAAATAAATAATTTTAGATAACAGTAAGTGCTGTGAAGAAATTAAATTAGAGGAGGAAAGAGAAAAGAACCCAATTTGATAGACTAGTGACTAAGTAGGCAGCTCTTTTAGTCAGGGTCACCAAGAAAGGGTACCCTCACTGTTCCCCTGCAAAAGGAGTACCCAGTGCAAAGGCCCTGGGACTTGGCCTGTTAATGGGGTAGAAATAAGGCCAGTATGGCTGAAAAAGAGTCAGCAAGGAGGCAGAAAGCACACTGGTACAAAGTGAGTTTAGAAAGGTAAGCAAAACTGTATCACAAGACTGCTGTGTGCCACTCGGTGGCACTAAATACATCTACATTATTGTGCAAAGATCACCACCATCCATCTCCCCAGATCTTTTTCACCTTGCAACACTGAAACTCTGTATCCATTAAATAACTCCTCATTCCCCTTCCCCCAGCCCCTGGCAACCACTGTCTTACTTTCTGTCTCTATGGGTTGACTACTCTAGGTGCCTCATATGAGTGACATCCTATAGCATTTGTCCTCGTGTGTCTCATTTATTTCACTTAGCGTAAAGTCTTCCAGATTCATCCACCGTTGTAGTATGCATCAGAATGCCCTTCCTTTGTAAGGCTGAATGTTCCATTGCTTATATATACCACATTTCTTTATCCATTCATCTACCTGTGGACTTTTGGATTATTTCCACAGTTTGGCTATTGTGTATAATGCTGCTATCAACAGTACACAAATACCTTTTTGAGCTCCTGCTTTCGATTCTTACAATGGGTAACTCGCCACAAGTGGGATTGCTGGATCACGTGGCAGTTCTGTTTAATTTTTTGAGGAACTACCGTACTGTTTGGATTTGTTTTTTAAGTGCACTTTTAAACCACTGTAGTGCTTTATAGCTTTAAGAGCCAACCCTGCTGCTCACTGGGCTGCTGTGCATGAATAAATTGGGAGGAATGGTGTAAGATCAGTGAAGACATGGTTGCTATGGGACAGCAGGGATGGAGAGAAAGAACGCTGTATGTGCTGATGGACCAATTGTGGAGGGTGAAAAGAAGGGAGGAGCAGCTGGAGGGATGCTGATACTGTGTTCTGACACGGAGGAGACTGGGGAGGTGGTGGGGGGAGGGGAGGCAGGTTGGGAGGAAGTCTGGAGTTCCCTTTTGGGTAGGTTTATAGTTCTGTTAGACATCCTGGTGAAGATGGCAAGGCCAAGAAAAACATCCCAGGAGCCATCTTCATACAGATGGTATTTCAGATCATGGGACTGAGTAAGGCGTGTATGTTGGAGATCACAGGAGTCAAATAGACTCCAGTCATGAAGAATGAAGCTGGGTTGGGGTGAGAGGGTGCTGAACCTTAATTAGGAGGCTGTCATCTGGGGGACCTAAGAGAGTGTGGATAGGCTCGTCTGTGTCTCCATGCTCAGCCTGATAGACTCACCTCTGGAGCATATGTCCATTGACTCCAGAGGAGTGACAGGGAGACTGCCAGGAGGGGCATTACTTAGGGGAATTGGCTTGCTCCCCTTGGAGGGCCTGAGGCACATGCTCAGAAGCCACAGGTCAAGCCTAGCCACCTGAGACTGGCAGGAAGGTGTGGGAGAAGGGCTTTGTAGCACTCAGTCCCCCTTGGGGTTCACAGCTCAGTGCTCCTTACCACAAAACCCACTTCCTGTGATTTTGTCCCTGGGTTATCACCACCACCATGAGCTTCCTGTGAGCACAGTTAAGTGAGTTCTCAGGGGAACATCAGCTACACTGAGAAGGTGAGGCTCCTGGTCAGGGTTCCTCCCTTCTTTCCTGTTAAAGCCAATCCTTGGGGCTGTAGCTGGATTATGCATCCAGAAGCTCCTTGAGGGCAGGACCAGGACCAGGGCCCTCCATGCCCAGGACAGTGTCTGACACCTGGGCAGTGCATTAGCAGGTGTTTATCAAGTGGAAGCTGCCGAGTGAGGCTAACTTTGACTCAAACATTGGAACCAATACTCCCTATTTCACAGAGGAGATGAAATAAAGTCAACGTGATAGCACCTAGTTCAATGACTGGCACATAATACGGGCTCAAGTATTTGGACATAATGTGTATTTGTGTAAAAGAAAGAGAGGGAAAGACCAATTGCATATGCACAAAATTGATTTCTGGCCCCACAGTTTGTATAATGCTATTCAGAACAAGGCCTAAGCACTGGGCTTATCCCACAGCCTGAAAGAGAAAGGACACGCTCATCTACCATGCCTGCCCTCCGTCTCCACTCCCTAAACTATAGGCTACGCCACTCTGCAGTCAAGAGCAGAACATGGGTACAAACAAACCAGCATAGCAGTTAACAAAACACATGTAAGATTTGGAATATGTTTCAATGAATTGCTTCAGAGTAAAGCTATTTTTATTGCTCTAAGGATTTCAGACTGAATAACAGAATCATGAGTAAGTTCCTATTCAAAAGGAGCTGGAGATCTCAGGAGAGATATTGCTCCCTTCAAAGGGTTTCCCCACTCCCTTCAAATTTAGGGTGGTTGCCCCCCAACTACCACTGGCAGGTTACCATTCACCTGCTCTGCAATCGCCTGTTCCCTGGGCATTGGGCTCCCCACCATGCCTGGACCGTGGCTAGCACTTGATATGTGTTTTTTAATTTAATTAAAAAGCTGTTCAGCATCTTCTCTTCTTAAAAAGTTCCACATGCAGAGGAGGTAATAAAGAGGATTAGAGTAAAACTTGCTGCTGATCCAACCAGCAAGAAATCATTTGTTTGCTCTACCTGTCAAACTTATTCTGAAGAGCCTGGGAGACTCGGACTCATAGATACCAAGAAATGACTGCCAGAGCCACCAGGTGTGGAAAGGAGAGGCTGGAATCACAGCTCTGAAAGATGGTGGCTGAGCAGGGGCAGAGGCCAATAGAGGCATCTGAGAGCCTTTGTCAGAAGTGTACACTTGATTTGAGACCAAAGAAACGCAGCTCTGAGGTCCTGCCTTAGACACCAGAGAAGGTGTGCAGGTGAACAGGCCCAGGACTGGCACCACAGAGCCAGTGTCCTGGCAGGGTGGGCTCGGCTGCACACAGGACTTCCTCCTTTCCGCCCTGTGCTACCTTTGACATCTGTGGAATTGCTTGATTGAGTAGGAGTGGGCGGTATAAAGTTCAGACATCTGGGCTTGGTGCCCACAGAGGTCAGGTTTGCAACAATGACATTGTCCCTTCCAGAGTACTTAAAGGAGCCACTGGAGCAGTACGTGAAGCAGCTACAGGTCGTGAGGGTGGTGCGGCAGGAGAAACGGAAGGGGCTGATCACCGCCCGGCTGCTGGGAGCCAGCGTCGCCCAGGCAGAGGTGCTCACCTTCCTGGATGCCCACTGTGAGTAAGAGGCCTGGGCAGTCTTGTCCCACCTCCCTGGCAGAATGAAGAGCAGGAACCGCAGCACACCAAGATCCCCTCCTGCTCGTGGTTCAGTAATGAAGGTGGCTTGGGACTCGCACCTGCTTCTGCCCCTTTGTCCCCCCAATCCCAAGGGTGTTTTGTGAGGAGACACACACAGCCCTAAAAAAGCTGGTGACCCCATACTTGCTGGGGGTGTGCTTTGGAGCCCCAGACATTCCTCTCTCTGCTGCTCCCAGATATGGACCTCACTCTGAATTCCACCCCTCAGGGAGGCCTCCTGTACCACTGGGAACCGGCTTGTATGGAGCTTTCCTGTAGGGCCACTTGGAGCCAGGAGAGCCTCCCTCTTGGCCCAAATGAAAACACCTCACTGTTATCAGGAGAAAAATTGTTCCCTCAAAGCAGTAATATATATTGAGATAAGCTGTAGACTCCGAGTCACAAGAGTTGGGTTTGCGTTCTGGCTCTGCCACTAACTGAGCCTCAGTTTCCTCATTTGCAAAGTGTGAATAAGGATGCCAACCTTACAACGGAAGTGTTATGCTGAGGGCCAAATAAAGCAATATTTGCAGCTCATTGAGAATCTCAAAGGGCTAGACAAATGAAAGAGATTAGCCCACAGCTAGAACTGAAGCTGGAGACACAGATGCCCTGGGACAGGGGATACCCTTTTCTAAAATCCATACTTGGTGGGGGTGAAGCTGATGCAGTAGCCAGGCTGAAAACCCTGAGGACACCCCTCCAGGACCTCCCTGTGCTTTGGGATCACTTGATTTGATCATGTTACTCCCTGGAGGCCTCCATTCTCCCCTCCAAAGCTGCCTCCACCTTTGGTGGTGGGGACTGGGGGCAGGAAGCAGGGTCTCAAGAGATCGCTGTATGCTCCCTGAAGCTGTGGCACATGCCTGTCTCTCTGCTGTAACTAGCAGTGGCTGGAGGTTTCCTCCTGTCCTCTTGGCTGCCCCCAACCCCGGCGCCGGTGCTGGCGCGGGTCCAGCTGTGCACAGGGTTCTGACTGCCATTTCTTGGCCCGGACCTCAGGTGAGTGCTTCCACGGCTGGCTGGAGCCCCTCCTGGCTCGCATCGCCCAGGATGAGACAGTGGTGGTGAGCCCAGACATCGTCACCATCGACCTTAACACTTTTGAGTTCTCCAAGCCCGTCCAGCGGGGCAGAGTCCATAGTCGTGGCAACTTTGACTGGAGCCTGACTTTCGGCTGGGAGACTCTACCCACACATGAGAAGCAGAGGCGCAAGGATGAGACCTACCCCATCAAGTAAGGATTGAAGCTTGGTGAGCCCCCAGCGTAGCCTCAGGCCCACCCAGTTCCAGGTACCTGGGCCATCTCAGGTCAACATTTATTAGGTGCTCCATGAAGCACTTGACACATTTGGTTTAATCCTCACCTCCTCCAAAGTAGGTACTGTGATTAGCCTCTTTTACAGGTAAGAATACTGAGGGTCCTAGTGATGAACAGTTGGCCCCAGATTATGTGGCTAGCAAATGGTAGACCAAGGACACCTGTCCCAGCTGGTCTGACCCAAAGCACATTCTCCTAACTGTGCTCTATAGTACCTCGTGCCATAACAGGTTGCTCTTCTCCACCGCCTACTGTGTGCCAGGCACTGGACTAAGGGCCTTACATACTTCATCTAATATATTGCTCCTGACATGTAGAAAGACATGCTCTTGCAGAAGCACTGAGAGATGGTGGGTAGAGGCCATTGCTGAATAGCTGTTGTAATGAGAGGGGAAAGCACATGCTCCCAGATTGCCTGTTGGCATTGTTATAGAGACCTCAAGTTTACTTCAACAGACAACTCAGCCAAACTGAGTTGGGGAGTACATTTTAGAATAGGCTATGGTTTTGGGTTATCTGTGCCATTGTTTTCCTATACTGGCCAGGAAACTTAAGGGTCATGTGAACATTTATCAGGGATGGAGGGAAGCAGAGGTTGGGGTACAGTGAGCACAGATAAGCAGCAAGGCTTGAAAGGAGGAGAGGGTTGGAGTTCCTCCCCCTCCACATGCCCAAATCCTAAGAAATGCTGCCCAGAACCTCAGTAGAGAGGGCTCAGTGGGTGCCACAGGAAGGAATCCCATTGGTCCTAACAGCCAGCTGCTTTGTCTCCATTTGAAGGAGAAGAAGCAACAGAAGGAGGAGAGGGGAAAGGAGAAGGCAGGAGAGAAAATAAATTTCTCCCTATTGACCATCTGTTTGTTTCATAGATAGATGTCTGATTTGGTGCATGGGGGCCAGGCACACAGTGGCACAGTCAGGGGCAGGGCCCCTGACCCCCACCCATCGCTGCTGTCCAAGGACCATACGAGGAAGACAAAGCTCTGGCGTGTGAGGAATCAATCTGCTCCCTGGTCCAAATGCCCTGGTGGCATGCATGGTTTGCCTGATGCCCTGTGCCTAGTACCCCTCCAGGAGGCCTGCAGGCAGTCCCCTCCCACCCTCCATTCTCAGAGCTAACAGGAGGCTGAGTGGAGAGGTAAAGGGTCCAGGGGACCCTGGTAAGGGGGCCTGTAAATAAAGGTGTTCCCAGAGGTTGCATGTTGGTTGTGAGTCCACAGTGAAGTTCCAGGTAGGGTTTATCCTCAGAGGTCATTTTTCAGTGGCTCCTTGGTCAGAGAGACCTCTCAAAGCCAAGGGACAAGCCCAGGTCTGGGAGACCCTCAAGAAGAAGTAGGTTGGCTCCAAAGTACTCTTCTAGAGTCCCAGAACTCTCTGAACCTTTTTGGGCTTTTCTTGGGCTGGCTTAGAACTCCTGGGAGAGGCCAAAATGACTTGACAGAAAGCCTGAGCATAAATGTATGCTAACAGATACTCCTTCCAGAAAGTGACTGCAGGAGCCAACTTCAGGGTGACAAGAGCAACCACCAGGTGACCCCAGGGTCAGGCCCGTGTAGGCCCCTTGACGGACAAATCCAATGAACACTGAGTCCCTGCTGTATGTAAAAGCACCTTGATCTGTGCTGGGCTTACAAAGAATGTTTCATTATCTTTCTGCTTGATTGTACCACGTGGAGCCACCCATTGAGGGCAGCAGAGCCCCATCCAAGCCAGCCTGGCCAGGGCGCAGACCCACAGCTGCTGGTTATGTGTGTACTCCTGCCCCCTCACCCCCTGCCCCAGGGCCCCGCCCCTGACTTCAGCCCTTAATATTGCCTGTCCTATGACCAATGTGTGGTACCTAAATTCTAGGAATGAGATGTTTTTGTCAATTTCTTTTAACATGGATCTGTGCCTCCCTACCTTTGCGTGAAAGCCAGAATCCTTTTGTAACCTCACATGCTCCCTTTAGTCAAGTTGAGCTTAATTTCACCCTTACTTCCTAATCTGTTTCCAGGAGCACCTCCTAACACTTTCTTCTGTTCAAAGCAGCTGGCAGCTTTCCCCCAAAGCTAAGTTTCTCGTGTAGTAGGCTTAGGTTCCTTCTATCACTATGGCTTTGTAGACCCTGAAGGGCCAGGGACCCTGAAATAGAATGGGGTCCATCTAGCTCATAATAGTCACTCATTCATGGTTTGAATCCTATTCAATTTCAGACAGCTTCTGATAATTGAGTATCTACTATACTCTAGGAACTTTGCTGCCAAAAAGCAAATGAAGGTAGCTTTCTCTGCTAGTAGACTGAGCTTTCAGAGACTGAAATTTGTCTTTCTTAGCTCTGTATGACTAACGTGTGGTGCAGGCCAGCAGTGGTGTGTTTAACACATCCTGTGGCCTGTGTTTAATATATCCTTCGTTGAATGGATGAATTAGAGCCTTTTAGAAGAGAGTAATAATCACCTCTCTCCTTGACCTGGTCCTTGAAGGTGAAGAGAGCATTATAAAAGCTCAGTCAACATTTTCTAAATGAGTGTTAGTGGAAGCGGAGCTGTGCATCCCAGGAAAGAGAGGAGGTGGGAGGTAGGTGAGCAGGTATTAGGGTTGAGTCCACAGCTTTCCATGCCTGTCTCCTGCCCCTCTTCCCCACAGAAGGTGCACATGCTTCTCCCTCTGTCTCTCCAGGTCCCCGACGTTTGCTGGCGGCCTCTTCTCCATATCCAGGTCCTACTTTGAGCACATCGGTACCTATGATAACCAGATGGAGATCTGGGGAGGGGAGAACGTGGAAATGTCCTTCAGGGTGAGAGTGAAGAGGGCTTCTCGGGGGAAACACATCTGAGGGGACAGCCTGAGATGTGGGCAGGCCATAGACGCCGCGGGGCTGTTGCTTCTGGAACTGAACTAAAGGGAGGCTCTTTCCTGTCATGGCTCCACCTTTCCTCTGCTCCCCAACCTGTCCATGGCTGTGCGGCTTTGGGAGTCAGATTGGATAACTTGAAACAAATTACTGGGCCAAACTCCTCAGAGGGAAGGGGGAAATGGTGATAATAGAAACTGGACATCTGGGGACTGATAACATCTTTCATGATGTCTATGGGAGAAGCATTAGGGTGAAGGTGGAACAGGTCAGTAAGCAGTCGCTGTCTTTTTTCTGGAAAAATCAGACCCTTCCCAGGTCAGAGGATACATGCCCGTCAGAGGATACATGCCCAGGTGGCTCAGCAAGCTCTTCTTAAATGTAGGGGAAGATGGTGGCCAAAATGCTGGTTGACCCCAGATCATAGAGGGATTCCAAGAAGAGGGAAAAATCAGGATTAGGTTAGGAAGAAAGGATTGCCTCTCCAGGAAACCTACACAAATCCCCATGCCAGGGGAGAGGTAATTAGCAAGTAGATGAGCTCATTTAGGAAGATGCCTCTCTCAGTGCCTGGCACATAAAGACATATCATTGATACCTGCCATTACTATGACTGTGATTATGTCTCTGTTGCTGCTATACTAAAATGAATATCAACATACCTCCCAACTTAAAACCGGAAAAGACACAGGTGGGAGGGAAGTCCTAAGCCAGCCTATTGGCAGAGAGATAGGTCACCAGCTCAGTCGTTGTAACTCGCAGAGTTATGATTCTAGGCTCCTCCACGAACTCTTACCTCTGTTCAATCTCTCTCTTAGGAAGCTAGTGTGCTAATGATCCTGGTGACTACCACCAGCCACTTGGCCATTGACTAGCCTTGCTGTAATTAATGCCCTGATGCTGTGATTGGGTCACAAGCCTATCTTGATTTGAGGGAGCTCAAGTTTCCAGTACACCTAGGTGAGCCGATAAAATCACATTTCCAGGTCAAAAAGGCAAGTGACTAGAGCTCAGGGTAGATACATGGACACAAAGTTAGCCGGCTGTCTTTTCTATAAAGTAACCCTCAAGACCCTGAAAATGTCCATTTATTTAAATCATAGTGAACCAACACGAGAGAGTCAGGGACAGTGTGGTCATGGCCTAGGAAGAAGCCTGGGCAGTGTCCTCCTCTCTAAGAGAGGGAGCAGTGTTTCCTCACTTCTTGGACCTGGGAACAGAACAGCTGCTTGGGGAGAGATTGCCCCACCCACCCCCCTAAAGGTCCCATCCTGTTACTCTTACAGGTGTGGCAGTGTGGGGGCCAGCTGGAGATCATTCCCTGCTCTGTGGTAGGCCATGTGTTCCGTACCAAGAGCCCCCACACCTTCCCCAAAGGCATCAGTGTCATTGCTCGCAACCAGGTGCGCCTGGCTGAGGTCTGGATGGATAACTACAAGGAGATTTTCTACCGGAGAAATATACAGGCAGCAAAGATGGCCCAAGAGGTAAGAGGAAATGGCGCTCAGGTGTTTGGATGAAGAGCAGTGCAGAATTCCAGATGACAGTCTAGAGCTGAAGGGTAGAGGCCCACCCACCTCTGCTGTTGGGCACCTCCCTTTAGCCCTCAGGCCCTGTAAGCTAGAGCCCTGGGAGGCTAGCGGATGCCGAGAGGAGCCTTTGTTGCCCCTGCCTGGAGAGGCCCGGCATCTTTCAGGAGGGGAGACAGAAGAGATTTGGAGGAAGAGTCTCTTCTGGGGCAAACAGCTTCACTCTGAGGCTCAGCACTGGGGACTAGAAGCAAACCAACTGGGAAGTCACAGGAGTTGAGGCAGGAAGGGGGCTACGGGTTGAGTCCCAAAGCCAGGGCATGCGCTGGGGAGGAGATGTGGAGCTGAGCTGGCAGCCCCAGCAGTTCCTGAGCAGGAATGAACTTGACACCATTCTGGGAGAAAGTGACTCCAGAAACTATGGGCTACTTCAACCCAGACAAGAAAGGTTCCTTCTGGTGGGACTGACCCTCACGGGGCTGGCTTGTTTGGCAGAAATCCTTTGGTGACATTTCGGAGCGACTGCAGCTGAGGGGACAACTACACTGTCACAACTTCTCCTGGTTCCTGAGTAACATCTACCCAGAGATGTTTGTTCCTGACCTGAAGCCCACCTTCTACGGAGCTGTGAGTCTTAAGAACCAGCCTGCCTACCCGTCACCACAGAAACCCCCAGAAGTTCAGGACCACTTACCCACAGTAAGACAAACTTACTGTGGAGGACAAACAAGAATTGATGTTTACTTTCCACACTCCTTTAACCAGAAGGAGGACAGAGACGCCACTTTAGGGCCTCTCAAGATGGCTGAAAATCTTAAAAAGGGGAACAGCCCATTAGCAGTGGTTCTCAAACATTTACCTGCATCAGAATCACCAGGAACATGCGTTAAAACACAGACTGCTGAAACAGCAGGACTGGGATGAGGCCTGGAAATTCACGTTTCTGATGGTCCTCAGGTGGTGCTGGTGGTCTAGGGATCACACTTTGAGAACCACTGTTCATAAGGAAATTCCCTTGTGCTGACAGTTTCTCCCAGGGACCTGGCAGCTGGGGAGGTTGCCCATCCTGCCCTTGCCCAGCCTCGGGGCTCCACCCCTCACTTGGTTATTAACTCTAGGCAGCTGACTTACTGAGCAGAGGTGAGAAATCCAGCCATGCAGATTTATTCTAGGTGGCTCCCCACCGACCAACCAAAATTGCTCTTCTGTATCCCTTCTCTGCAGATGAGGAACCTCGGCATCAATCAATGTCTGGATGTGGGTGAGAACAACCATGGAGGAAAGCCCCTCATCATGTATGCCTGTCACGGCCTTGGGGGTAACCAGGTACACAACCAACTATACCAGGGCAGGCCTGACAAAAGCCTTTCTCTGGCGCATTTCCTCTCCTCCCAAGCCCCCTCTCTCCATTCAAAATAGTTCCTGAGGATCAGGCTGGGGGAGATCCAGGGAGCAGAGGAGATACCATCCCTGCCCTCAGAAAGCTCCGAGTCTGAGGGGGAATGCATGACACGGACAGACCAGGTCTGAAGTATGAATTCGGGGCATACAGAGAGCACTGGGCATTGGTGCTGGTGCTAGAGATGGAGGGGAGGCGAGGATGGTCAATCAGATGAGGCTTGCTAGAGGATGCCAGCTGCTGAGTGACATTCTAGGGTGACCAGAAAACGTTTGAGCACTGCCCCGCACCCACACTCAACTTTGTCTTCAGTGCCTCCCCTGCCAAGGCCACCACTCTGATCTTACCACCCATCATGACCACAAAACAACCACCTACTGACATCTCACAGGGTACCTGGCATCCTGGGCATTTACTCCATGCCCCACAAAGCCCCAGCTCTTCTCTGAGGAATAACTAGTATCCTTCCCAGCCCCAGCCCCTCAATCTACCCTGAATACCCAGCATTTGATCAATAGGAGGCACTTGAAACAGAGCTGAAGCAAGGAGAAGAGTGATACGAGACTCTGAACAGGCTGCCAACACATGCAAATAGACAGTTGTTCTAAAGCAGCTTCCTATGCCACTGGACTGCATGATGATTTTAAGTGGTACACTGGTGAACATTTATTATTTTTAAAAAAAGAACTAGCATATCATACATACAATTTCACAGATAATGCTTAAAATGAGGCTAAGTTAATTTTTAATTAACTTAAAAATATTGATTGACTATTATTCCAGTTTAACCAAGATCTGGTAAAATCCTGACAGCGGCATGTGAATTACTAAAGTCTTGGCACCCGCTCACTTTCCTCCCCAGGAGGCCATCTGTGGTAGGCCTCTGGGGGCAGCTGGCCTTGGAAGGTGGTAAGTAAACTCTCCGTTTGTCCCTCAGGCCCTCCTCTTATTTTGACTTCTAGTATTTTGAGTATACAACCCAGAAGGACCTTCGCCACAACATCGCAAAGCAGCTGTGTCTACATGTTAGTGCTGGCGCTCTAGGCCTCAGGGGCTGTCACTTCACTGGCAAAAATAGCCGAGTCCCCAAGGATGAAGAATGGGAATTAACCCAGGTGAGTCAGCTGCCCAGAATGCTCAGGTTTAAGAACCTAAGGCCACAACTGCCCCACCTCCTTATTTTCTGCATCTTCTGCCTGAGGTAACGTGGGTGGGTCAGGACAATGTAGAAAGTAAGGAGAGTATGGGCAGGGTTCTTAGGCTTAAGTACTGTTTGGTGATGACTCGTTCCTGCGGGTATAAAGATGGGGATGGGGGTATGTGCATGGCCACCTCTGTCATGGCTCTATAGATGACCCAGCTGGCGGTTCTATAGATGATGGGCCCAACATCCCTCACTAGCACATGGGATTCAGACTAGATAAGTGTGACTTCAAAACATGGGTTCTTGCCATTATTCCATACTGCCTCAGGATATATAATATGACTTCTATCATACCAGGCCCAAACTAGCACCCCCCGTGAGCCTCCACACCCCGCTCTATCCTTATCCCAATCCCAGTCCCCAGACTCTGGTTTAGAGAAAGAGGAACCTATCCTTGAGTCTAGAGGGAAGAGAGAAATGTAAATATCAAAGGCAGAGAAGAGGGTGGGCTACAGTGGCCTGGGCCTTTGAGACTGGCCACCTGGAGGAGGAGGGCCCTGAAAGCGTTTTTCAATTAGTCCATGGTCCTGCCTTCCTCTATTCCAGCCACTCAGGCTAAAATTGGGAGTGGGGAGTTGGCACCGGACAAGGTAGAAACTCAGGAATACAGCCCATTGGAGTATCTGGTGTCCAAGGCGAGGAATTTGGAAGTGTGTTCTGTCTGCCTTGTCAGGTTTCCTTTGCCTTTTGTGTATTGTCTCCCCTCTCATTGCCCCTGCGTAGCACTTTTAGAAGTCCGAGGCCCAGGCTGACCCTTTGGTGTGTCATCTTTTAGGACCAGCTAATCAGGAACTCAGGATCTGGGACCTGCCTGACAACTAAGGACCTAAAGCCAGCCATGGCCTCCTGTAATCCCAGCGATCCCCACCAGCACTGGCTGTTCAACTAGGCCCCAGATCATCCTCTGTGGGAGGGAGTTCCCACACATCTCTCAGGAAACAGGATTTTGGGGAACCTGATGTTTGGGAACCTGATCATCAGTCTCTCTCTAGGCCTTAAAGATGTACTTCTAAACCCAGTGGACGTCAAGGCAGGACCTTCCTGCTCCCTGCAACATCATTGGGCCTGTTTTCTGTTCCACATCAATGGACAAGACCATTAGAGCACATAGCCCTTGGCCTAGAGCTTCCCCTCTGTCCTAGGCACAGACTTCCAAAGCAGAGAAGGAAGCTGGGGTAGGGCTTTGGACAGCAATGCCTCATTCAAGAAAAGTGCCTCTGCAGCCACATCCTGTATCCCTGGTCATCTAGAGCACCTACAAAATCTAGTGAAATATTCCAACAGAGGGATTAGAGGTTAAGAGTCTCCCTTGCTGATACCCAAAGTTGATAGAGCTCTTTATAGAAAGCACCTTAACAGAAATCCATTATCTTACTTCATTGGCACAATAATCCTGTGAAAGAGACAGGACATGGACCACTGTGCCCATTTTATAGATAAGAAAGCTGAGGCAGAGAGAGGTAAAGGAGCTTGTCTGTACTCCCACAGGTAGTGGATGGCTGGAGCCGAGACACTCAATCTCGAATGCCGAACCAGACTCCTTCCACCACACCACAGGAACACTAGACACCTAGCCATCAGCCTTCTCAGTCTCTCTTTCCTTCATTTGGATCATTCCTGGCTGGCTGTTTCCATAAAGCCTAGAACAATGAAGCCAGGTAGCCACGAGGGAGACCACATTTGGGAACCCGGGATATTGGTATTGAAAGCAAACTCACAGAGCCAGTGATTCTCAGGTTTAAGTCCCAGAACCCTTTTTCCAATGTTCCATGTGGGTGAAACTGAGGGTGGAGGGCAGTGCCCAACAGCCTCTGAACTGCTGAAGGTCTGTAAGAACAATGTGAAAAACACTGTTTTAGTCCAGCCCTATCATTTCCATATTATGAAAGCAAGGCCAGCTAAGTGAAACAGTTTGTCCAAGGCCACCCAGCAAGCTATTGGCAGCCCTGCAGCTAGGACCCAGATAAGAGTCCTGGGAAGTCTGAGGAAGCAGGGACTGTAGAATCAAGCATGGCTGGCCTTGTCTGCTGTACGCACATGAAGTCCCCGTGTGGAACAGACCTGGCATGCATGGCAGCTCTTTTCCAAGCTAGTTGGACCCCCACCACGCATGGGCTACTTAGCCTGGGTTAGAGAGCCCAGGGGCCTAGAGGACTTGCATTCCTTCCATAAGGGCTCCTGTCAATAGCAGGCTGTCATCTGGGCCGTGACCACATGGGCCTGTCATGGGACCACCGCGGCCTCTCCTCTCCAACGACACTGCAGGAGGGCTTGCTAGTCCCTGGGATCCCGCAGGGTCTTGTGGAGGGAACAGTACCGGGTCGCCCAAACAAAGGGAGAGGAGAGGGTGCCCAGGGTCTGATCTGGAGTGGGGAAAGGAAAAGATCTTTCCCAGAAGGAGAAGAGAATTGTACATAAGACCCCGGTGAAAATAAAGGTTCTATGGCGATGGTAAAGGAAGCTTGGATTGGATTTCTCCCCTGCGTTGTCCCATAGCTGGTCTGTTCAGAGAGCCAGTTGATTCAAGCTGGGAGGAAGCACAAACGCCTGCAAAGTTCTGTCTCAGCCACTGTCTCTTGCGGCCCCCAGTGTAGCCTACGTATTATGTGTCATACATGCAGACATGGGGAGATAAAAGATGGGGCTCTTCCCTAGAGTCTCACACTCTAGCTGAGAAAACAGAGACGGAAGCAAGTCAGGACAAGCCTGCAGTTCAGCGATGTGCTAGGTGAAATAGAACAATTCCTTCCATTTAAGGAAGTCAGGGAAGGCCTCACAAAGATAGTGACATTGGACCTGAGAGGACTCAAAGGATGCATCCTCAGGAAGGGCTCAGTAAGCTGTGTGAGATCTAGGGAACCAAGAGGACACCAGCGTGAGGGAGTAGCAGATAGAGAAGCTAGACAATCAGGGCCATGTGGTTTTTGTGGTCCCTAGGCTCTTTTGCCTTAGAAAAAAAATATTAAAAATTACGTTTTACCACTGCATTGGTATAAGATGAACATAATCCAGGCTGATTGTGTTCATTTTACTTATGATTTTAAAAGACACGAAAACAATTTTGTGGACCTGAGGCCTATATAATAGTGCCTGTGTAATAGAGTGGGGACCCAACTGGGAAGGCTTTGAATGCCATGCTAATAAGTCAGGTGTCATAGGGAGCCATTGTCTCCAACTCTAATTCTAACCTTACTCTTCGTTGCATTAAACATCCAAACATTTATCAGGCATCAATTGTTTGCCATTTATCCCAATATCCCTCCTATTGTCTATAGCATCTCCCAATAGCTCTACAGTGATATATGCCCAACCAAGGTGTCCTGTTGTGCCAATGTTCCCTGCATCTACCCCAAGACAGCATAGCTTCTCCCAGGAGCAGTCCCCTAAGAGACACTCATAGGAAGGGAGAGATGCAGCCTATGAGGGAAAGACAGCATGTCACACCTGGAGAGTAGGTCTAGGTTTAGGGGTGAGGGAAAGACCAGGGAAGGGAGGTAGTCGGGAAGAGGAAGAGAGCACAGGGGGACGAGGGGCGGAGGGGAGACTCAAGAAACCAGCTTCATGGCCTCCTCTTAGCCAAGACCAGCCTTGCCCTAAACTGACATCTGCTGTAATCCTTCAAATCCACCCCTCTGACCATTCTCAGAGCTAACCTAAAACCTTAAAACCTTGCTTATGTCTTGCTTAAAATCTTGATGCTACTATATCCTGGCTCCAGAAGCCCCTCACCTCACCATAGTCCCCTCCAGGGATCTACTTCCCCCTTGAAAAATATTGGTGTCATTGCCAAAAATAGCTAAATGTACAAGAATATATTCTGTACTTATTTTTCATTACAAAAAGTAACGCTGTAGAGAAGTTACAGGATACAGAAAAATATGACTTAAAAAAGTGAAGTTGATCCTCACAGTGCTCCCACACCTATTGGTTCATTCTCTGGAAGTTTTAACTTGCAGGTATAAACACTCCCATACCCTTTTTCTATGAATATGCAAATATACACATAGTACCATATTGTTTGCAACTTGATGTCTTCATTTAATATATCAAGGACACCTTTTCATGTCAGTTTAAGTCTAACTCTTCTAAGTCTTTTTAAAAGCTAGATAGTATTACATAATATGGTGAATCTCAATTTCTTCAATTGACAAATACTTAGGTTTTCCCAATTTTGCAACAAACTGTGACAAACTATATAAAACTTGGTAACAAACTACTATAACCCACATCCTCTTACATTTACTTTTGTGCCTGTATTTGTTTCAAAAGGATGCATTCCTAAGATTAGAATTGCTTAGTCAGAAGAAATGCAGTGCCCTGAAATTTAAACCAAAGCCACTGTGCATGACTAACCCTAAGAGTGAGAATAAAAAGTCTGTCCATCATGGGAGATGAGGCTGGGCATGTAGAGTAGACATGGGTTGTGAGGGCCTTAAGTGCAGCCCTCAAGAGTGGCTTTTAAGCAAATACAGATGGGGCTTCTCTGGGTTCGGCCAAGTGTATAGAGAAGGATGTGTTAGTGACCCTGCGTTTAAAAGGCTCACTTTGGAGTATGTGATGTCGAAGGGTAACCTTTAGGAGGCTCTAAAGACTCCTCCAGGGCTCCTCAGCCTGGGGCTAGAGCTGTCTCCTGACTCTCCAGAGGAGGCAGGGAGGTGGGAGGAGAATGAAGAAGAGCGCTGGCTCCCCAGCCCAGCTCTGCCCTCTTCCCCCGAGGTCTACTTTTTGTTAGAATGCTGGGGTTAGGGGTTGGAGTGGAGAGGGGCCCTCCAGGTTACCCAACCATCGAAGCCATTCCCCTGAACAGCTCAATGACCTGAAAGGGTGGCAGTCTGTACAGAACTCCTTCCAATGGCCTTTTCGGGCCTCTCCCAAACCTTCAGGCACGAAACTTGATTCTGGAGTGTGTGTAAGCAACAAAAGCTGCCACATGAACCAGGTGACTTCCCCACCTCCATCTTAGCTTCCTGCCTTCTCTCTGCCTAGATCACTGCTCTACCCAGAGTCCTCTGCTATGGAGCCTGGCAACCCAAAGTCCTCTGCCCACATCAGGGCACCTGAAGCTCCCTCCTTCCTCTACCGACTTTGATGGGCAGAACCATTCAGTCTCCTGCAGGACAGCCTGCTCCTCACCTCCTGCTCCCGCTGCCTGCCACCCTCAGCACCCTCAGACTATCTCCTATCCTTAAGGCTCCTTCTTCTAACCAGCCCTATGTTCTCCTTCTCTGGGAGTCCTTTCAGCTCTCAGAATTGCCCCAAGCCTGCTTCTTGGCACCTCGTCCATCAGAATTCTCTCCATTGCATCTCATTTGCTTTTGTTCCCCTGCATTTACATGTCTGCGTCCTGGGGACATGTCCCATCTCCCACTTTGGGCAGAGAGATGTTCCTGTCTCTTCCCTCTTGCCAGCCACTCTTCCCTCCTCCAACCCCCTTGCCTCCACCTCCTAGTGCACAAGACTGGCTCTGTGCTCCTAGTGCCACTGAGGACAGCAAGGCAGTGACAGACTATGAGGGAGGCACCCTGAGGGAAAAGCCTACCCTGGTTCTGAAAGAGTTTGTTGGATGCTTTTCAACTGAAGGCAGATGACTGAGTCAGCCTAACCTTGTTCTGTCTTTGAACAACAGATAAATTGGTTTACTTGAAAATAAATCTTTTAATTTGTATTTCCATGTCACCTGTGATTTTCCCTGTCTTCCTTCTGCAGCCCTGCCAGCTGGCAGGAAGAAGGGGAGCAAAGCTGCTGCTAAGAGGAGTATAAAGAGGGCTGGGTTCATGGCAAGGGGGCAGTGGCAACATGCTGTGCTTCCTGGTATTGGCCAGCCTGGTCCTTTATGGTAAGTGGTCATCTGGCCTGTGTTTTATAGGGAGGCGACTTGGGCAGGAGGGTTGGAAAGCTATCCCTAAGTCTTTTCTCTATCCCAGGGTGGTGGGACTCTCTGCCTGCAAGTCTAGCAAAAACTTTCCTCTCCTGGAGCCCATGATATGAAAGGTCAGGGCCATTCTCCCTTCAGACCCTCTGGTCGGCAGGTCCATGAGTCATGAAGCACAGAGAAACCTCTTCCAGGACCCTGGGCTTTCCCACCACCCCTGATGACAGGAAAACATCCTCAGCAGGGACTTGGCTGAAATGTGCCCTTCTGGAGAATCCTGCCAAAGTCCCTGCCCCCTGGAGAATCCTGCCAAAGCACTGTGTATAGGGAAGGGGTTGGGGAGGGGGGGGTCCCTTCAAGGCAAGGGATGACTCTGAACAAGGCTGAGACCACCAGAGCCTCTGTGGCCCCAGCTCAGTGGTGTCAGACACGTCCTTCCTAGCATGCCAGAGTTCTGGGGCCACCTGGGGGAAGAAGGCACCCAGACTCCCCTGCTTTCAAAAGGGGCTCAGAGGACTCACAGCTGGGCCCCTCATTTGCTAGGCAGGAACTGTGAATTTGCAGACAAAGCACAACTGCCACCCCCATTCCCACCCTCAGCTGATCCATGCTTAGTCATCACTCACTTCACTTCTGCTCCACAAAGGACACAGCACCCAGGACTTTCCAGGAGATACCCGGGTGGTTGGAGGCACTGAGGCCTCAAGGAATTCCTGGCCCTCTCAGGTGGGTGTTCCTTCACAGCCCCAGACTTCCAACAAAATAAGTTGCCTGTGTGCTGAGGTATGAGGTTATATGCTTTTCTGTATGTCCCTATTGACAGGAAGCTCTCCAGCTGCCTGGATTCTAGATTTTAAAGGTGAATGGGACCAGGTGTTTTTTCTAAATGCAATGGCTTGGAGGAGGGGATTTAAATGTCAACCACATTCACTGTCCCAGGCACACACCCAAACACAAACCGCCTTTACCCTCCCAGCAACATCACACCAGCAAGACTGTGCCAGACTCACACCTCAGACTCCACACACCTCAACACACACACACACACACACACACACACACACACACACACACACACACCACTCCACTCCACTTCATGTGTGCTGCCTGTTCAAGTGCACCCCTGCCCCCCAGTGGAGCATGTTGCTTCTTGGCTATTTAAAGAGTTTCCACTTTGGTAATAGGGGAATTAGATGCTGGTTTAAGCAATTCTAAATATATAAAACTGGCAAAGAGCCACACTTTGAGAGGAATAACTGCAATTACAGTTAAATTCACTTTACAAAAGTTTGTGCCCTTATTTTCAGGAGTAGAGCTATTGTGTAATTGGAGATGCGGAAGGAGAAGGCAAGAACAGATTAAAATGAACATGCCCATCGTATTTCTAAGTATGCCCTGATGTGGGAGGATATCTTGAAAACATTGGAGGGGTAGCTCTGGGCTTGTGGACTTAGGTAATGGAGCAATTCCATGGCTACATTTCCTTCCCAAGAAGGAATGGAGGTAGAAGGACCTGAGTTCTTGGCCCTTTAGTAGGGATGCCGAATACACTCTCATGCATGTCTTTACCCTCTATCCTTGTACACAGCAAACATCACAAATAGTGTAGCACTCTTTCCTGCTGATCCCAGAGGCATCCACACGCCTCTTCTCAACATCACTCCAAGTAGCCGCTGCCGACCACTTAATAGCACATGACAGGTCAGATGAAACCTATTTGCCATCTATAGCCCATAAAGTTGGAGAATGTTTTCAAGGGATGGCAGGAATTTGAGGAGGTAGTATGCAGTCTGGGGCAAAACCTTTTAAGAAACACCAACCAATCCCTCCTTTCTTCCCTCCCCATCTAGATCTCCCTCCAGTACCTATCTGGAGGTTCCTGGTATCACACCTGTGGAGGGACCCTCATCAGACAGAACTGGGTGATGACAGCTGCTCACTGCGTGGACTCGTAAGAAAAACAAACATCAGCTTTTTTGTGCCCCTGAGAGGGGAAGTCTGGCCTTCCTGGAGGAATATACCTTTCACCACTCAGGGCAAGACTTTAAGGGGGTGTTTAGGGGCCTGTGGGGAGGTAGTGGAATATAATGAAAAGCACTAATTTTGGCATCAGACAAGCTCAGGTTCAAATCCCATTCTACTTTCTTCTGGCTATGAGACCTTAGATGACATCTTAAGCTTTTCATTCTCTTTTTAAGCCCTCATTCTTTTATCTCTAAAATGGGATCATAATACCTACTTTGTAGAGTTATTGTAAGGATTGAATAGGTAAATGTTTAAGTGTCAATGCCTGGTTGATAAATGTTTTTTCATATTTGTCCTGAGCAATGGTTCTCAAATTTCAGCGTGAATCAGAATCAGCAGGAAGGCACAGATTGCTGGGTCCCACCCAGCAGAGTTTCTGACTTGACGGGGCCAGGTTGAACCCTAATAATATGCATTTCTAACAAGTTTCCAGGCTACAGTGATGCTCCAGAGACTACGCTTTAAAACTATAGGTCCAGAATTTTACATTTCCCTCAAAATCCCTCTATGGGCTGAGAGCCATTATTTCACTTATGCTCACCACACCTCTACCAGGTTATGAGATAATCAGCCTATGATGTTTAGCCAAATAAATTGGGAAAAGGAAATTGATGGAAATTTTTATCACTCCCACAAGTTAGTAAATTAGGGAATGGGAGAGCTGGTTACTTCATCTTCTACGGTCTTTCATTCTTCCTCGGCCCAGGACAGACAAGATGGGCTCCTGTCCTAAAGAAAAGAAAAGGATGATTTCCCAACTTTTCTCTAAGGGGGAAAGAGAAGGTTTGAGCCCCCTGGATTGCTCAGGGCTTCCTTCTCTCGCTCCAGTCAAATGACCTTCCGTGTGGTGGTTGGAGATCACAACCTGAGCCAGAACGACGGCACGGAGCAGTACGTGAATGTGCAGAGGATCGTGGTGCATCCGAACTGGAGGAGCAGTAACGTGGCTGCTGGGTAGGGGGCTGACTGGCCAGCACCAGGGTCTGGGCGTCCTCCACATTCACCCAGGAATACTCTGAGAATTTAGATTTTGGAGAGCTTGAGAATTTTTTAACACCTTTGGGATTTGTTTGATTTAGGCTGGTCTGCATGACTGGATCACCTGAAGCTCCTTCTCTGCAGAGTTTAATGTTTTTGTTTTTAATGTTACTTATTATCTATTTTATGGAATAGAGTCCATCAGCAAAAGTCAGTTTCTTAAAATGAATCTTAATGAGAAAACTCCTGCAAGACTGAGATATAAACTTGTGGAAAGGCAGTAGTTAAAATGATGGTCAGCTCTGTAGCGTGTAGGGGTGGGCGTGGGTTCAAGTAATTGGGGGTATTTCTGCAAAGCTTTCAGAACCATGCAGCATTTTACATTTCTCTTCTTTGAGAACTCTTCTCTGCTACCAAGACTGCACCACTTTACTCCTTTCTGATTCCCCGTGCATAACTGAAAGATGTAAGCTCTACTTCCCTGGGTTATGGAGATCAGAGTTAGACTACAACACCAAGACCTCACCAGCAGATGCAGCTGTTCAGCTTTTAATGTCCTACAATCCAAATGTGTAGTGCCTCAAGTCTGGGCTCAGCAATTCAGCCCCTCCTTCAGATTTATTGGTTTCCAATTCTGTGGGAACACAAAGGCTTAGTGAGGGGCTGCCCATGTGCCAACCTGAAGGAAGTCCTGAGTAGTCACCTTTCCTCCCACAGGTATGACATTGCCTTGCTGCGCCTGGCCCAGAGCGTTACTCTCAACAGATATGTCCAGCTGGGTGTTCTGCCACAGGAGGGAACCATCCTGGCTAACAACAGTCCCTGCTACATCACAGGCTGGGGCAGGACCAGGAGTAAGTCACCTACATGGGCACCATCTACCACATGATCTTGATTAGGTGGCTGAGATTCTGGGGCACATTTTTCTGTAGTACTCAGTGTTCATAGCCAGAGATCAGGAACCAAAGGAACCAGAGACAGAATAACTGGTGCATGAAATCAAACTAAGAAGAGGCCATAGAATAGTCAAGTCAGAGATTCATACATTCTTATAACTAAAAAAAATACTTGCCCCAAGAGTATTTTGTATCAGCTTTTCATTTTATACATGGGGAGCCTGAGGACCAAAGAAATTAAGATCTTATATAAAATCACATCACAAGTTAATAACAAGTTGGCTGGGGCCAGCAGCCAGGTATCCTGACCCCCACTTTGGTGGTCATTACACCATCTTGCTACCTGCATAGACAGTCACTGGGCTGTAGCTTGGAGTGAATGAACCAGTGGAAACTATAGGCCTTACTCTCTTTTGGTCATCAGGGGAAGACTTCTGGTAGGGAATGTCATCAGACAACATTGGAAAGGTGGGAGGGCTATGAGTGAGATAGTTAAGAAAGGCAAAGACATTAGTCCTGACCCAGAAGTCTGCTAGCTGTTAGGCCCTCTCTGGGCTCTGGAAAGGCAAGGCCTTGCTGTGAGTAGCCAGTCTCCTGGGAACCCCTGGAGCTGAAAGAGTTCTCCTTCTAATGCAGCTCTTCTCTCAGTCACTTAATGTCATTGTGGTTCCACTTCCTGATCTGTAACAGGAAGGGGTTGCTGTTGTAAGGATCCAAAGAGGTAATTTGTGTACAAAGGCTTTGAAAAGTCAAAAGAATCAGATAAAGAAAGCTGCACCAAGCTCTTGAGAAATGGAAACAAGAGTGTACAGTTCCAGTTCTGCTTCATGGGGTTTAGAGAGGAAGGAGGAAGCAAGACAGACAAGTAAGTTACCAACCAATAAGACTATTCTAGTTACTTTAAACAAAACAAAACAAAACAAAACAAAAAACAGGAGTAGGATTGTTATTTGTGGCCTGGGAACTGTCATCAAGGATGACTTCCTGAAGGAAGGAGCCAGTAGCTTCCATATAAAGAAAGAAAAGAGGAGAATCTATGACATGCAATGGGCCAAGAAAGGGTGATTGTGCTGAGCTTAGCTTTCGTCAAAGCTTGGGAAGGTTTGGCAGGGTATGGAAGGTTTGTCCCCTGGACAGCACCTGGGGCTGACCGCCAATGCTATGTGTCCTGTTCAGCCAATGGGCAGCTGGCCCAGACCCTGCAGCAGGCTTACCTGCCCACTGTGGACTATGCCATCTGTTCCAGCTCCTCCTACTGGGGATCCACCGTGAAGAACACCATGGTGTGTGCTGGAGGAGACGGAGTTCACTCTGGATGCCAGGTGAACACAGGCAGGAAGTATCAGAAGTTCTACTGCAGGTCCTTCCCCTCTGCCTCCCACCCCCCACCTTCTCCTCACTCCCGATTCCACACCTATTCCCAGCCCCACATACAGACTCAACTTTCTGTCGGGTGTCTGAATAAGAAGGATTCCATGCTAAGTAACTCTATACTCACAAACTCTCAGAGTTGAAAGGAACCTTAAAATTCAACTTGCTTAATGTCCCCATCTCAAAAGCTTGCATGTGGCTCAACATTTGTGTGTTGGTATATGTGTGTGTGTCTTAGAAGTTGTTTGTGACCTAAATTTTTTATGGCTGCCAGAAGCTGGGCCTAGAGTGGTGGCTATAACTGTGTATAAGACAGCTTCCCTCCCATTAATCTTGACTTTTCTTGTAGTTCCTC